ATATATATTATATATATATACAATTAGGTCTCAGGCCTTCACCCGGGGCTGAAGGTCTGAGACCTCATTGTTGCAGTTTAGGGTTCAGGCCTAGAATTTGTGCTTGTGTCGGCATGCAGTTAAGGAGTTTGGGTATCTTCTTCAATGTTTTGAGGTTTGTGTGTCTGGTAGTTGCTGCAAGAGGTGCACGGGATAACTCGCTGGTACGATGGGGACGAGAGCCCAGATACTACAGAGACGTCAGGGATCGCTGGGACTACTTGGGAGGCCCCGCTGTTACCATTTATTGGATGGGGTCTGTTTCGCCTGGGATCAATGACAAACCATAGCTGCTGGCCCAATGCAGAGGCGGACTTCCCGCTACACAGCGCCACCCTAGAGGTGCGTTCCCTGAAGGTATCATTGTGTCGGGTCTAGTGTTTACAGTTCAGTGTTGAGACCTTGTGGTTTACAGTTTGGGGTGTACAGTGCGGGCCTTACTGTTTAGACATAATGTCTAGGGCCTGCGTGTTTAAGGTTTGTTGCAGGTTAGGGCGTTGCGACCCATTGACAAGGGGGAGGAGGTTACTGTCTCCTACATAGAGGAGTCTCTCCCTCTCCACCAACGGCGCGAGGCCCTGCAGAAAGTATGGTTGAGGCTATTTTGCAGCTAAGGGCTTTGGGCCTTACCTACTTAAGCAACTTTCTCAAACAGGTTGAGACAAACAACCAGCACCTCAGAGTGCACAAACTGGGATTCAGGGTTGAGGGTGTGGCGTTCTTCTTATTGTTCACGCTTTCGGTTTTGTGCTTTGCAGCGCTACGGCTTCTCATGCACGTGTCCTCGCTGCGTTGTGGAAGTAAACCATACCACTTAACTCAGCCCTAAAATTTAAACCGTTACTGTTTTTTGGGAGTCTGCACCTTTCTTCAGACCTTGTAGTGTTCATGGGTTTGTCTGTCAGGCTGCCGAAGCCCTGCTGGTGGTGATGAAGGTCCCAGAGTGCTCCGACAGCAGAAAACTGGAGGTGAATTGCTGCTGCTACTGCTTGCGGGCTGTCTTTCCTTTTGCTGTTGGGAGATCTCCTGCTGTTGCATGCATCACTTAGCGTTGCAGTGGTGCTACTACTACTGCTGCAGCCACTGCGGGTGGTCTCTAATGCCCTCTTTGCTTCTTCAGCTTGTGTTGCTGCTGTGGCGTTTCGCATTTGCAGGAGCTTGTCGCGCGGAGGACGGGTCTTCCCTTAACCGTTGTCTCCGAGGTCAGGCAATATTCAAGAAGCCTGATGAAGCCCCAAGTGTCGAGCGACAAGCGTGGATATGCGCCGCATGAAAAGCTACCAGAGACTGCACCTTAAAGTGTCGGCCGGATCATAGGCCTCAAAGCCAAATTGTAGAATCTAAATTCCGAATTCATAACAGGAACCAGCTGCATATTGTGTGTCGGAGTGGCAAACACAAGGTCTCAGTGAGAGACGCAAGAGCAAGAGTAGCAGTGGTGCTCGCTTCCTAGCTGTAGCTGGGGGCCAGCGATACTCTACTTGACGGTGGATTCCAGGGGCGGATGGAAAATCACGTTCAAATTATGTTATTGCTATATACACGCTTCCGCTCAATTAAAGGCATCCCACCACAAAACAGGTATAATCGGGCTCGACCAACCGCAGGCGACGAAGGACGGGCAGGCATTGATCAGGCCTTCTTATGCGTCGGCTGCATGCCACACTAGCTCTTCTCGGCAAGACCGAATTGAACAAACGGATTCAGCAGACGGCAACCGCCTCCTGGTTAGCCAGTTCTGTAGCTTGGCTGCTCTCAGAGGAACAACAGTTTAAAAAGGATTTTACATGAGTTGCCTATGACCAGCATGGCCTGTTAACTAAAACTCACCGTCACAATGGCGGTTATGAGGTGCCACAAAGACGGTCGATTGCCTTTTCTAGGGGAGTGGCCCAGCTCATGGACCGCACCCTCAACAGCTGCTGCGCCCACGTTAGACGCGTCGTAGCGACCCACAGCCGCCAGCGAGCATTCAGAACCTGAACAAGCACCAATTTGAAAAACCAAAGCCTCGTACCCTGCTGTAGTTCTACAGCAAAGGCGTTTTTTATGTGCCTGGAAACGGGAACAATCGCAAAAGCTGTATCTTAGCAGAAGAGCGATTCATGTCATTCATAGGTGCATGATGAAAACCCCCTTGTTCTGGAACTTTTTACTTGAGCTGAAAAAAGGCAGGCATTAGTTGAATTCATGCATGTACGTTGAAATCTGGGGTACCTGAATGGTAGGTGCCTTGAGCTGAACAAGCTCTTGCAATTCCTTCTTGCCAACAATAGCTAGGGCACGATGTAGCAGCGGCAGTAGAACGAGCGCCTCATCAATGCCTAGCCTTCCTTGTATGGCTCGCAGCTGCAACAACTCAACCAACCGGCGCCTTCAGCAATGTGCATCCGGCGACCAGATGGCTCTTAAGGCAAGGGTACGAGGTCACTTCGCTGTGGTGAAGACAAAGGAAGGACGAGGGAAGAGAGGACTGACCAAATCATTTGTCTTGATAAGAAGGATTAGTTCCTGAGGGATATCCTGCAGGACGCTTGTAATCCGGGTGAAGTATTCAGGGAATGACCTTTGTAGCAGTGCTGCCTCTCTGCACACACGCGGCAACAGTTGTTATTACGACGATAGTAACTTGCAATAATTCTAGGTTTAACTAAACAAATTGGGCCACATGCTAATAAAGTTAACACTCGTCTGCCCCATTTAGTAAAATGAACGCTACTTATTTTTATTGTACTATTTCCTGTGCGACACATTGTAGCTCGTGTATAGAAAAATTCATGAATGGCGTGAGGAGCTGGTTTCATCAATTCCACCCCAAAAACCAATAATGTAGATAGTGGAAGTGACGCATACGATCGCTTTCTACAAATACGTTGGGAGGTGCCATTAATATAATTCTTACTCGGGAGTCTTTCGCGACAGCTGCAACCCCGAATTGATGCTGAAAACACAACAGAGTTCATAACAAGAAAATACATTGCCCGGATGGAAGTAAGGTTCAAAGAAACAATTTCAACATATTGGTTCCCACCGTACCTGTCTTCGCTTCTCAGGCTGAGAATAACGGCGAGCAACCCAGCCAATTCCCCCACGCCAAACTCTTTCGCGCAGGCAGTCACACCTGCTATGTCTCCCCGTTGCATTGCAAGCCACATGCTGGCGTAGGTATATCTAAATTGCTCAGTAAGTGAACAGTATAGGCCGTGATCCAGCAGGCTGAGACGAAGCCGCCCCTTTGTGTGGACGGATTCCCGTGACGGCCTCTGAGTGTTCAAGGCCTTCTCACAGCTGAGAGAAGACAAAAGGACCGCTGTGTGGCACCTACTCGTCGGCTGTTGAAGATCGTAGTCTGGGTTGGGGCTCTTGTCTAGATGTACTATAACGTTTCCAGGGTGCGGGTCAGCATGCACAAAACCAACGTCAAAAATGAGCCTCGCGTACAGTTCCGAAAGTGCTTCAGAGACCGCTAAGGGGTGGATTCCTGCGGAGGAGTAAAGAGAAAAGTCACTAGTGCCCTACATGATTTGCCATGTGGTAAACCGAGTGCTCCGAATAGCCAAGGCGCGATTCCCTCGTACAATTCCAGATTACCTTGAGAAAGTATTCCCCGCAAATCGTCCACTGCTACTCCTTTACACCGTTCCATGACGAGGACTCTGGCGGTAGTCAAGTGGTTGTAAACCCTAGGCACGTACAGCTCCACCTGGTAGTCAGTGAGGCAGTGAGAGCTATCATCCTGTGGGTGGGAGTTGGAACCACCATCTTGTATGCGGAAGGTTGAAGTGGCGGTTGACCCTGTGTGTAGCACTGGGGATCTATAGCGCTTCTGTTCGTTCGTAACAAGCAAAGCGTTTCCTGAATCACTTTCTATGCGGTTCGGCAGTTTCGAACCATTGTTATCTCCAATATGGGGATTAGAAAGCCTGAACCACGATGCTGCCTTTGCTGCGAGCCGGAAGAGGATCGATTGCAGCAATGAACGTTGCGGCAGAACGAGATGAAAAGTGGATCGTCCGCCTTGCAGCAAATCACGACATCTTTTGGCATTTTCTGCCTCCTTTCTGAAGTCCAATTCAGCAGGGAGGTTTTGTCGAAGGAGATCTACAAGCCAGTCCAGCCTGCATGTAGAAAGGATGGCGGACAGTTCAGCGCTTTGCAGAGGGATATTCCGCTAGCCTGATTTAACTGCACAGCCAGCAGAAGGCAAGGCCCGGCAGTGTTTTTACACTATTCGGCAACTGCTCTATACAGAAACACCAGAGTTTAAACCACAGCCACAACTTGAACTTCATTGCACTGTTCCGTTGTGCAATTTCTGCGTCGTGCCACATTTCACCAGCAAGCGCGGGAATAAAGTCCTGTGCAAGCAAATTTGTTGTGTGCAAGGCCGCTTGGAGTTGAACGTAGGTACATTCCTAGGTAAACAGCTATAGAACATTATTGCTGCTGCTGTCGAGGGGCCATTACCTGACATCTGGGAATATTTTAGCAGCAACTGCCGTCAGCAGCTCAACAACTTTCGTGTCCGTCTCGGCAAGCTCCCGCACGTCGGCATGCTGCACTTTAACAGCCACTGGTTGCCCATTTGCCAGCACAGCGAAGTGTACTTGCGCCAGCGAGGCTGCGATGCGTAGAAAGCACAAAATCAAGGGTGCGAACGTACGCTTGCTTGTCCTGTCAGAAGTACCTTAGCAAACACGGTAGACAGCGCGACACGAGGCGCAAGGGACGAAGCCTGTCAATTAACCGAATCCAAAAGTCAAGGCAGCAACGGCCTAAACAGTAGACTGCCGAACTCGTGAGCACTATTAAAAAAGGAGCCTTCTCCACAGTGATAAGTAGCCCTACCGGTGCCAACGGGGGTTTCCTCAAATATCTCAAATACTTCATCCAACCTCTCAATGTTGAGTTCTTGCTTGAGTACCGCCTCCACTTGCGTCATAGGAGACGGGGGAAGGTTGCATTGAAGCTTCTGCAGCTGTTGGGTATATTCCACGGGCAACAGATACTCCATAGCACTTGCATGCTGCCCGAGTTTGACGTATACCCCTCTGTTCCTCTCAGCCAACCGCACGAGACGCCGTGCACTCCGACGGTGGCAGCCACTGATGTCCCACCAGGCTGAACATAATAAAAGCATTCACACATCGGCGCCACAGCAAGAGGATAGCGCTCAAGCATATGTCACAGCATACCTGCATATCTTGATTGCTTTGGAGATGCGAAAGGGCCATATCCTAGGGGCCGTATGCAGAAGAACCTCAGCAATAACCGAAATTTTCCAGCATGTTTGAACGTTTAGTGCCAAAATAGCTTTCTGTATAGCCGCACGGCTGAGTACAGTGGAGCTAGGGAGAAATCCAGCATTGTCTACTCTTCTGCTGTGGCCACAAATGCTCACCAAGCATCTTGTAGTCAATGCTCAGTGCAGCAAGGACAGCAGCAGCGTTCGCGCATCTTAACACGGCCCACGTGCGGGTCCTTTCAGGCATCATTACCTGAATTCCCCAACCAATAAGTCCTGCAGCACTGAGAGCAACACCAGTAGCATAGCAACCCTTGCGCAACGCCACTAGAGACGAAACCGCTTTGCTGTGCTGCGTGGGCCTGTGAGGTGCCCTGAGACGTCCAAGAAGTTGCCTGATGCGAGCATCGTTGTCGCTTCCCTTGGCGCCAGGACTGTTGCAGCTCCTACTGCGCCACAGGCTGGGACCTCCTTTGTAGAACTGCGAGAAGGAATTGCACACCTTGTGCGTCGTGCAGTGTGCCTTATCGAGGAGCCGAAACATCTTACCGTCACACCAGACAGGCCTCTTTCTAGCACAGGGTGAGCCTTAGTGAAAAGCCCACACCAGAAAACAGTCATGCTGAGTACGCTCGGCACCAGCCATGAGCTAGGCGCCAAAAGTAAAAGTAAGCATGTTTCACATGAGTACGCGCGTGTCCTGAATGTGGAGGGCCGACACCTGTCGGCACCCGCCACCGCGGCACTGATCCTGAACTCCTATATGCCAAGTAAAAACACGCGTAGCTGCTGTCTAACGAATTTGTAAGGACTCGCGAAGCCTTGCGGTCCGCAGAAGATCCTGTTTTCACGAGCGCTGGCGAGCGGAAACTCGTAAACACGGGAATTCCTACTTAATGGTGGAAACCCGAACTTCCGCGTCCATCGTCCAGCACTTAACAATAAGGAGGAAGAATTTATAACAAATGAAAAGGTGTAGGCCTAAGTATGCTGGGAACTGAGAGACCCCGCGAATTTGTTTCCCAGCCTGCGTGGCAGCCACAACATATGCTGTGGTGACCTTTCAAAGTACGACCATTAGTGGATTTGCTTGTCCTTCAACGGTTTTGCTTCAAATACTCATCCAGCATTAGATTATATAGAATTCAAGAGTGCGCGAGTTGTCGAGTCCCTTTTCTGGGTACTGGCCCACCTGGTTTTTCTCGGGGGCCCCGGTGGATGCCTGCCACCCTGTGAATTCTCTGAGCCTCCCTTCTACAACGTCGCTTGCTTCTCATCCTTATTTTTAATGCTGTGAATATCCTTCTTTTGGCCTCTACAGCGTTGCTGAAGTATCTGCTAGCGATGCTGTGTCGGAGCAGTATCGGGCCCTACAGATCCATCTGTAGTGAACAGCAACTGGGAGCCGCCATTGCTTATGAATTGCAAGAAGCTCTCGAAACAGCTTTGAATTCCTTCTAACATGCAATAACTCGGCGTCCCGTTTCTCTCGAGCCCGCTTAAACTCCTACGGCACTACCGAGCAAGCGTCCCATTTTCTAGGGACAGTTTTTTGTCGCCTCCCACGCCTTCCGTTTAAGCCGGACATATTGCATGGCTGTGAACCTCAGTCTGATACCAAGCCATCTGTTGGCAAATGTTCTTTCAGAGGGAAGGCACAGGCCCGCGAAATGCCTACCAGCTGCCGCAGGCCCGCTTCTCTCTTCGTGCTGGAGAGGGCCCCTCAATTATACGCCAGTTTGCCCACACCCTGAATCGCCATCCTTTTAATCAGCAAGTATGCTCGCACATCAGTGTCATATGCTGTTACAGCCTCATTTACTAAAGATGCCTGACAAGTAGTTGCTTCCGCGTTTGTACCGAAGGGCCCACGCTATAGAATTATGTTGCAGTTCTGGCTGTAATTTCATTTGCGTATTCCTGATGGTAGCTCTTGCATTTTAATTCGCAGGTATGGAGTATTAAAAGGCAGCAAGATGAGCACTTACACATGCCAGCATAAGGATGTGTCTGGCAGCCCACTGGTGTGCTGCTTCTGTGCAGGTATTCCTCATTGCTTCGGACGGTCTACCGGGCCCCTCAGCGGCAAGCTCCAAATCGGCTGTTGATTTGGCAGTGTCTAGCGTAAGACTATGATTTTGCATAGCCGATTAGTTTAGCCAACAAGACAGTTGTGCACTTGGTATTTTAATTTTCAAACTTGTGATTTGCTTGGGGTTTACAGCTGGTTAACGGGAGCTGTTGCCTCTGCTTGAGAAACGTCTCTCTTGATGCATTCCTGCATCTCCCACTGCAGCAGCTGCTGCTGAGGCGCTGGAATGGGTCTCTTCTTACCTGGCGGGGACCTGGGGGTTCAGCGCCATGTTGTGGAACAGCAACTATAGAAAACCCGGGGGCGCCCTGCCCAGTGATAGGAGACACTGGAGGTGATAGGAATACGGCTTCTCTGCAAAATGACGGAGTCATGATTCTGAAGGTATGCATGCCCACGCTATTTTGGGGAGAGCAAAACTCGGCAAAGATTGTGCAGCAGGAGAGCCTGTGCAGTAAGGCCTACCATACTGGCTTTGCAGTGTTTCCCAATATGACGCAATATTGCAATTTTTCCCACAAGAGCAAACCTTATTACGCCGAATAAGCGCTAAGACAATTACTTATTGCTTAGATGCCATCGTTAGCGCAATGCAGAGCATCTAGCCCGTTCATCCTGGTGCGGGCCACAGGCAGACGTGACGTGCGCTTGTGCCTCACGGCGTAGTGCGGCGCAAGATCTTGGACACTATGCAAATATCCTGATCATGGAATGCTCGGCTAATGCGCACCTGTGTGTGTTCAGTTGGATCGCTTCACGGCGCAGGTGTTGGGACTTGACACATGGATACGATTGCCTCATTTTATGCGGAAATGTGAGAAGCCTCTCTTTTCCTTGGATCTACTTTATCGACATGTATTGTTGTACTTATTTCCTAGTATACGTGCGAGAGCAAATTTCGGTGAGAACCGACATCTAGCGTCTCTACTTTCCCATGCGGCCTGCTTCCTTTCGCAGCCCTTCCCCCTGGAACCCGCTACCTTAAAATTGATGTGCAGCATCCGGCAGTCGTGCGCCACCAGAAGATGGTTACCCAGAATAGGCTAAAACGGCAAATGCAAGGGGTGCAAATAGAACAGGGGAGCTCGATTGCAGGGCCGCCTTCTCGACTCTTCGAGCAGCTTCAGCGAAGTCTACGATCACTCGAACCTGTTGACCTCCTCTCCAGTACAGCGCGTAAGCCCTGGATATTCGGTACACGTAACATCCTAGGCCTTCATGCTTGCCGTGCCTGTCACCAGGAATGCCTCCGATTACGTGAAGTGGCTGTGTTCCCGCAGCACCTGAAGGAGATTGCGGGGGAGTAGATGCAAGGCGTGAGCTCGCAGAAGAAGTGCAGCTTCTACTGCGCGCTAGTGGAAGTCCCACAGCTACCTGCAATATCGTGCAGTTCCAGTGCCGTGTGTCGGAATATAGGGGGGGTATACTTGACATGACGGCGGAGGCCTCACTGGCAGTCAGCACGGCGAGCTCTTCACAAACGCACCATGCGGATCATATACTGATGACTCCAGACCTTCCTGATTCCCAGACTCCTTATCGCCTCGTGTTACCGGTCTGGGACAAGCTATTTGCTGCTGCAGCTGCTGCAGCACGAAGAACCTGCCCACCGTCTACTGGGGAGGCTGTTGCAGCCCTGGTGGTGAGACAAAAAGACAAGCACAAAGGTTTGAGCAGCCGTGCTGCAAGAATGCCCACACATGCGCGTGTTCAGAACCCAGATAGCAACATGGCTTCACGGAGTCATAGTTGCAGTGAGCTAGGCGAGTCCGCCAACACGCGGCAGAGTCCACCTATCCGCCCAGATTATCTAGGAGCGCTTCAGCTATTGCATGAAAGGCAGAGGCAATGGCGGGAGAATAAATTGCAACAGCGGAGTAAGGATACCCAGCCCGCACCGGAAAACGCAAGCCACACTGAGGAGGCGTTGCAGATGGCCGCCCCTCCCCCATTCAGGAAGCAGCCACCAGCAGAGGCCTTATTCTCCAGAATCACCGAATACCTCGGTTGCCTTGGTTTGGACATTCCTGTGAGCAAAGTAAGCAATGAGACATTCTGGATTTCGGCCGCTGGCTGGAAGGAAATCGGGATGCTTCCCCATAGTGCGTGCCCATAACAATTGAGGTCTGTCGGATGATAACTATTTTTGGAGTTTCGTAGAGTGTTGGTCAGGGTGCCCAACGAGGCCATGTACGTTGGCAAAAGTGTGAAATGTAAAATGGCGGATGGGTAAGGCAGAAGCATTCGCGTCATTGTGCACTGCAGGAGGACTGTGATTGGTTTCGGGAGGCCGACCGCATGAAAGACCCGCAATCGGTAAGGCGTTGAGGCCCATCCCATGCATGCGCAGTCATAGTAGCATTTGCCGTTCTTCAACTGCAAAAGAGGGGTTTTGCTGTGTGCCTTTGACTCCGCCTCTGCTGTTGACTGCACAGGATAAACTTTACGTGCTAAATGAACTTTTAATCATTTTGCCCTTTTGTGGATTCTTGTGTGCAGATTCCTGTTGCTAGTGTGTCCGGGGGGCTTCTTCACTCTACTGCTGTAGTAGCGGCTGCTGAGTCCCTATGGTAAGCCGGCGGGCGTGCCACCAAAGTCCAGCCAACAACCAGAGTGAACACCACGTGTGCATGCGCACCTCTGCGGAGCTCTAAGCTATGGGCTAATTGTGTGTTTGCGGGCGTCTTAGCACCTGGCTACAATCACAAGGGTCAGGAGCGTGGGCAGCTATATCTGTTGTAGGGGTTGCGGAGACAGCAGTAGCGTACACAGGACAGCCCCATGGTGAGTCTGTCACAGAACTTAGGAGTTTCGATAGCCAGTAACACTGAGTTGCCAACTCTATATACCGTTCAGTGCGTCGCAAGCATTTTAGCCTACATGCAAATTTGCTGCAGTCCCCAAGAGGTAATGCGACGTACTAGTGATGCTGATACTGCTTGACGCATGCGCTTCAGGTAGTGACGCCAGTGGCGAGTCAACGCTACATATGATTCTTAGTGCCGAAGCTCCAGCGAAAGTCCGTGGGATGCTGCTGCAAACAGTTGCTGCCAGCGACGCGACTACCACTATGCCTTGACCCCCAGAGATATTAACCCCGAAGGCAGTCATCTACACTGGCAAAAAGGCATTCAACCTGCTGCAGCCATGGACTCATGGTCCGTGGCTCCGGGAGAACCTATTTTAACATCTGCTGTATGTTCTGAGGGCGCCTCTGTCCCAGTGATCTTTGTTTTCGAGCTCTTTAAATAGATAGATGTGCGAATGCTAGGGTGCCCAGATTTCTTATGAATTGCAATCGTATCGACGGCATCAAGAATGCGTCGCCACTTGCGAGGGTCGAGACCCTGAGCACAAGAGAACTTCACAAAGCTGTATGCCGTGCTACCAATGGTCTCTTACGCTGGTGACTGAGGGAATGATCCATAAGCTGCGGTCAGGGAAACATATGCAACACTAGCGGACAACAGGAGCTGTGCAGAGCATGACTATTGCAGGGGTTCAAGATCTTACATGTTGAGTGAAAAAGATACTATCGAACTCGGCCAATTGGGAACTCCGAGGCTCGCTGGCGAGGCTTCGTAAAAGTTCGAGCACGCGCTGCCTGTCAACACACGTAAAGAGTGAGCGGGTCCTACAGTGCTGCCAGGGCATGCACGCGTGAATCTGGATGCATGAATATGCAGTACACCCACGGTCAAAACGAACCACCTACTTGTTTGCGCTGTCGAGCGACAAAAACGGCTCGTCCAGGAAGAGGACGTTACATCGGAGGCCAGCCCGGCGCTTAAGTATAACGACAAATGCTAGGTACAGGCACAAGCCGATCAGCTGGCGTTGCCCGCTGGAAGCTTGGTGGATGGTCCTTTCCCTGAGCCGAAAAGCGTACACACGTATTGCCAATGCCATCTACCTGAGAAGACGTAATGGAGCGATTTGTATTCTGATCCCACGCAATGGCCTCTGCTTGCCTAAAGGCGCCGTCAGAGCCGCGGACGCTCAGCACTCTGGTCAGGCGACTAGTTTTTGATGACGCGAAATCTAGCCGAAGCAGGCCGTCACTGGCCTGTTTAAGGTAGATGTTTGTCTGTTCCTCCAGCTGGCATAAGGCTGATCTGCACACAGTACGCAGCTAATGCACGGCCTACTCATTTCTTGCACGAAATGGAACAGTAACCCGAGGAAACATGAGATATTTGAGTGACTGCTGAAGGTTTGCAAGGGCACGCATGCTTGATCCATGTGCTGCAACCGTGAAGCTGCCTGCCAGAAAATCTCTATTGTGCGGGAACAGACTACAGATGCAGCTACGTAAAAATGGGCATCTGGCCTCATGTGGTAAGTTCTGTGGACACCTTACGCGAGAAGGTGGCGCTGGATTCCTTGTGGACCAAGGTGAAGCTCCACCTCTTCTAGCACTGCTTTCTGAGATCTAGGAATAACGCAAACAAATCGCAAAGCTACAGGTAGCATTACCTATCTCGCAGAATCCCTCACTAGGCTGACAAAGCTTTCAGGCCAATGTTAGTCACTTACATATAGAACGCAGCTCGCGAACGCAGTAGAGAAATAAGCCTCTGCAGTCTTCTCGCTTGAATACGTGTTGCTCCTTTGCCATCTCCTAGTGGCACCCCTCCAAGCGAGTGGGACAGAACAGAATGGTCGTCACTAGAGTTTACATCTAGACGAGATTGTTTCGCCTCAGCTTCGATGTCGGTCCCTTCGCATTCGCGGACGTTAACAGTCAGTCCTGTCTTCGTGTGATGCGTAGGTAAAAAACGCGTCCTTCTTCCTACGAGACGTTGAAGGTCTCTCAATCTGTTCCAAAAGCCAGCACACACGGCACTACAGTAGTGCCACCCGACGCAGAGTTTAAAATGAAATCAAGCCACGGAGGGGATAGAAGGGCTACCCACCGTATTGCCGCCACATGGTCAAGGGCCTCTGCTGCCTTGCTCAAAACCCGTTGCTTCACACGCGCTGCTGCCGTCGCAGCGGTCCATATGTCCAGCGGAAAAAGCAGTGACAGTAATGCCTGGGCATTGCAAGAGTACAAGAAAACACACTGATATACTGATATTGCCAACCCTTCTGCCCATGAATGTGCCTTACGGAGTCTACATTTTCTGTGGCACAATCGAGTTATAGATGAACCATTCACGCACGGAAAAGTTCGCTTCTGAAGTCCTTAGCAATCCGTCAGCCCCTTGGGATGATAAGTAGATAAACTGACTCCAAGCCTTGAGTCTACCCCCGAAAAGGGATTCAAGCTGCAGACGCACGCATATTAAAACAGTCGCCATCGAGCGCGGTTATAGAGAACGCCTTGTCAAGAGCCCCGTGGACTTGTGGCAATAGGACTGGCAGACATCACCTCGCGTTGCGTGTCTACGACGCTCTGAGCCGTCATGTCCCTGCCCCCCACATGGAGCGTTAACTCGCAGCGTCCCGAACGCCAACGTATTCTCCGCAGACAAAATGGCTCTCCATTCAGTTCGCCTGAAGAAATGGGGAAACGCATGCATTGTCATCTATGGAGTTGGTGAGGCACAGGGGTGGGTATCCTGTGGAGAGTACTCTGCACTAATCACTGCCGGCAAGGGAGTTTCGGCTAGTCTAGGCTAGGTGGTCTACCGCTACTAATGACTAATGCAAATGGCTTACCCTCGAGTTCAACGGACGCGAACCGATCTTCAGCGCATTGGATCACATCTTCTGCACCTCTTTCGTCACATGCGAAGCTGCCTGCTGGCCCGCAGTTCAAGGTAGAAACGGGCGGCACGTCATCACAAACAACGCCCGTAACCTGGAACGTTATCGCACGCTGACACAGCACCATGCGAAATTTACCTGCAGAAGCCCCTTTTGCTTCGGCAATCAAGTGCTCCATAGCTTCTTGATTTAACATGCATCTGCTGACTCACTTTGGGTCTTCCCGAAACAGCAGTGAAACCGTTACAGACCGCGTCGCCTATAAGTGCCCAAACGACGGCCTGCATCATAGTTGTTTTACCTGAAAATAGGCACACAAAAGTATAGATACTACAGGCCTAGTAAACAGGCACAATACAACGGGGAAAAGCGCAAATTCCAAAAAGACATATAGAATCCGGCATATCAGCAGAATTAATCCGGCACCTTCCTCCCTCCAAACCTATGTAAACTATCCGCGCCTGTACAACTGCTTCTGAGTTTTGACTTGAACACGTCCGACCTGCTCCGTTTGCAGCATGAAGACTTCCACGAGCATGGGGATCTTTGCTGCCTTGAATGAAAACCATACCACGTCGGCGCAAGTCGAAGACAACGACGCCACTGTGAAGACAGCGCAAACCCAGAGTTACTCACTTACTCAGTGATCATCAAACAGCAAAACTGCAGTGATGCTGATGCGATATCAACGCTAGTGAAACCGCAAGGGCAATGAAGGCCATCTTCTCTATATTTCCAGGAGTCCACACCTGTAGAGTCCGTACGATTGGACACGTGCCTGATGTATCACCAGGTCTGCAGCAGCATGCGGCCATCCTGCGTTTGGTCCTGTTGGAAGGGAAGCCGCTCTGCAAGAGCTCTCTGCCCCACTCCAGCAAGCCCCTTCCACTTGCTCCTTAAGGATCATATCGGCTTCTTCCACTGGAGAAATTCCGAAGCAAACGCAAGACGGTGCAAATAACAATGTGAGAATAAATAGACGCCTGCGCATGTGCTCGGAATGTTGCATATTCGAACGCAGATCTACTGTGAAAATAGACATGATGAAACAGCTGCAGGCTGCGATGCGTATCCATGGGGCATGCAAGAGAGTTCTTGCTGCTGTCTTCGTCGTACATGCTTGTTCACTGAAGGTGTGAGATCCATCCTTGGCGAGTTGATCAGCGTAAACACGCAGCGCCTCACGTGGCGGGCGGTTTTCAACTGGTATTAGGCCATGATGGATAAGTAGCCTTAAGGGGGATGTGCTTGCATCTGGAAGCAGATTGTCAAAATCGGTGGAGACCTGTGAAGCGTCTTTCGCGCTTTGTTCTTCCGCCGCTCGGGAGTTATGAGTAGAGATATTCTGTAGATTCGCGCCAGATGGGTTTCCTAGCCCTCGTAGCCCAACGTTTATTGGTGAGGGCGTTTCCTGGTGGTCGTTCCCAACACTGGCGGTCACGTGCTGAGACACGGAAGAAGCTGATGCAAGTGGATTGACCCGGCAATCGAATAATACGCCTGCAAACAAAATTGATATCATGTGTGTCTCTTTGATGCTTGCAAACACGCATGGTTTCTTGGGGAACACATGCCTCAGAGCACTTTTTAAAGGCTGCGTTTAAATACCAAAAGTAGCCACGGATTCTGCCAGAGACTGTATTACCGGCTTCTCTGTAGGCATCACATATTTGAAGGAGCTGGTCCGTATTTAATTCATTTTTTCCTCTCATCAATGTCTCATTGAGAGCGGTGTCTAGCCCACTGCTTCCACCTAAAGTTGCTTTAGGTGACACAGTCCAGCTGCTGCTGGCATGGTCGCTCCCAGAGCTTGTATTGAGCATGGAGCGTTCTTGATCAGCGAAATCTTCAGACTGTCTTTGCAAGGATTCTGCGTTGCTATCTAGCTCTCGTTGCGGTGGCAGTTGCCCCCCACTACCTTCGTGGGAGTGTGGTTGTACAACACTTTGGCTGGCAGGGAGCTCCGCTGTGGCTGAGGTGCTTGGTAGCAAAACCACTCTGTCCCCACGGCGAAGAGCTTGTGGTGGGGGCAGGAGACGCGGGTCTCTCACAGGGAAGTGCCTCGGACCAACCGTGGACTCTTGTACGTCTACCACTTCAAAGTCGCACGACCTAGATATGGTATACAGACACTTCCGCTGATAAGCCTCCGCTAGTGATGTCTGCACGAAACATGAAAGCAAGGCTGGGAGTAGGTGATTCCGAGCTATCCGATAAACGCCTTGCCGATCGCTTTCACATTGCTCATAAGCTGCTCACCTGATAGAGCGAACCCACGTACCGAACCTGCTTGCCAACCAGCTGCGGGGTGTGTATGTGGCCAGAGTATACAGGCACATCTGGCAGTAGATCAATGTCTATCCCATCGTTTAGTATAGCCCAATCGCTCTCTAAAAGGGGATTTAATGTGGCTCCACGAACACTGAGGTGACCGAAGACCGCGCGAAGTGTCTTGCACTGAAAACAGTTAAGACAGGGCGAAAAACAGGCCTGTGGTCACCCGCTCTCTCGTGGGCACGAACGCAGAGAAGTCGTTTTGCTATATGTGGGAACTCTGGTTGACGAGTCGCAAAAGTCTAGGCATTCTAGATGAAGGACGACTCAAATGGAACGGCGAATGAACCGCGAATATCTATTTACACTGATGTGAGTGAAACAATTTTCTCGGCATGCCCAGTTGTTGGATGAAGTGGCATTTTCCTCCACACCTGTTTAGCATGGCTCATAATTCGTCGTAACTTCCCCAGCTCACGAATATGTGGTAAGAAGAGAAGCTCCTGGTTGATCAGGGTTGGTCGTCTCAACGGCAATACCAGAGGGCTTCGAGATACAGCCTTCTCAAGGGGCTGTAGCAAATCGCGCCCTGCTTCGTAGGACAGTTGGTCATGGTTCCCGGGCAGCAGGACAACCTGATCAATTATTCCAACAGGCACACGAGAAAAGCCCGACAGCAATATGACCGCTGGACTTCAGCGCACCACATACTCGATGGAGAATCGCACACTGTGACAAAATGGTAAATTGCATTTTGAAGGCAACGGTTAGTGCATCCATACATATGCATGTAGAGAGAAAATTGGACTGTGAAACTTGAGCTCACTGGAACATCCCATTGCTCCCAGAACTCGAGAACAGGTCTCAGGAGACCCCAGTGCAGATGTCTCTCGATCCGTGAATGCCAGAAATCCCCCAAGAACACGGCAACAGCCGGCGTTTTCTGGGATTCTGAGTTGCCTTCCTTGCCACGACCAGCGACAGCTGTCGGTTTTTTCTGGTAGCCTGCGCTGTCGGATGTACTCTGACGCTTACATGCTTGCTGCACCAGGGAAAGGGCATCAAGACATGTAGGCAGTGTCGCCTCGCTCACGTGTAGGTCGCCGAAGAGGACGAAACGATCAACCTGTGTAAGAAGGGGGATTGTGCACTCGTCCCACAGGCTGTGCCCTGCAGCTGCACGAGCGCAATCAGGAATGCCAGGTAGTCTGCTGGGGCAACGCAAGTGTTGTTTTAGAGAGCAATTATTAACGTATGATCCAAGTGCTCTTAGAGATCTTTGTATGGGGATATATCTGTTTGAGCTTGCCCAGGAGAAGCCCCCCTCAGGATGCCCTGAAGATGCGCTGCTCCAGCGTGAAAAAAGAAAGAGCAAGTTGGGCAAATTCGTCGGCTTCTGCAGATTCGAAGAGGCACATCTGGTCGTGGGAGGGATTATTACGAATGCCCCTGAGGTAAGAAGGTGAGGACATGTCCACCAGCCTACCATACCCAGCAGGAGCCACAGCTGACTGCCCCAAGGCATCACCACCCGCACAGCTTTAGCTCATGTACCTCCTCATAGACTGTCAAGGGGAAGAGGACGCAGAATCCAGGGACATCCATATCATCCTAGGGTACCATGTTTGACAGTAAGTTACTGCTACACCACGCCAAATGCCATTAATACCATCCTGCCACGGGCGAAGAGGAAGCCAGGAGGCAGGCAAACGAACTGGTAGCCCGCCTGCTGATACAGAAGATGCAGCTAGAATTTATGCGAGAATCTCGCCAATGAATTTAGATAAACCTTGCCTGTCTGCGCAATATGTTCGATGACATCCGACATAGGGCCCAAGGGCTGAGGATCTCGAGACAACCCTCTCGATTGACCTCCACACTGGGGCACAAATTAAACTTATGTAGACGAAACTATGCAGCAGCGTGGCATTAAATTTGGTTCTGAGGTGCGGAATACTTGGTGTGTGAGTTCATTTCATTCTAGTACGTCTAAAAACGGGCTTAACGTGGCAAGGCATTGCCAGGTGGAGCAGGCACTACGACAGGAATGGACTTCAAGGCTGTGCCAAGCGAAGCCACAACCGGCAACACGATCCACCTTAACAAAAAACAATAATAATGACATCTTCACCACATATTTGCCTCTACTTTCCCTGCGACATTCTAGCGACAAACCCCTGAACTCGTGTGCCGAATCGGTATTTCTGCCAAGGTTAACTTGTGGCGTTGAAATCCAAGCACACTCAAGGGAAACTTATGTACCCACCAGAAAGTCTAATGTAGAATGGAAACGTTACCCAGCATTTCATTACTAGTATTCCCGTTCTTCAGTCAGGCTGAAGCTTCATACTGTATTTAGGTCCCGCGGAAGGTGGCAAGGCACCAAAGAAACTGAGAGAGAACTGAGACCTAGTTCAGTGTAGCCCCGTCTTGGTAAAAAGCATATAGATTTTTTTCAGTAATTACAGTCGTTTCGAATGTTATTGCGCCAGTATGGGCGGACGAACATTCAGCTATCACCCATATGGCGCCTGTTAGGGAACTACTTGAACTCCCTCATACTAACTCCTATATAAACTCCTTGCTGCTTCGACATGCATGTCATTCAGCTATCCAAATTCTGTTCAGAAAGAAGTATCCCAAGCACTACTGCTTTTCATTTGCTGACATCGCTGTGTACTGGCTCCCAAAATTCCACTGCATCTGACCAAGAAAGTGAAAGCGTAGACTACTTTGTGTGCATCTGCCCTGCCAAAGCTTCATTCATTGAGTTGTTTGTAGAACCGTCTCCTTCCTGAAAATTTCGAGTACCAACAAGTCTGCCTGCGAGGGAGATTCGGCAATAGTAAATGTCTCCTAGTGTGCTCCCGTATCAATGGGTCGAGGGATAAGGCACAAAAAAAATGTGCGCAACGCCCCCCAGAACTTCAATCATTTTGGAAGCCCCGCTCTGCTGTATGACACCACTAAGGGTTTTGGGGCCGTCAGCCAGTGGAACTTGCCACAACCACATAAGCTACAGAAATGACACGCTATTTCAGCCCGTGACTGGGCCAGTCCCATTTACGAAGACACGCATTCACTTCTGCTGCATGCATGCAGAGTCTGCTTCCGCTCAAGCCCCTACTACACAAAAATCTTTACCTGCGAAGGCCTGCCACCGGAATGTTTCGCATTGAAACTCTCCTGTCCCCTGTTCTGTACGACTCTCAAGAAACCCCGTAATCATTTGCTTCTTACCCCCTCCTCCCTCCCCTCTTATGCGGTGTGTGAATTGCATATGGATGATCGCCGCCTAGCCAACACCTTGCAATGCTGGAGGCATGTGCAGGCCCTACGGGAAGCAGATGCAAACAATTAACCCTGCCCTGAGTTGTGCGCTGACTCTCAGTTCAGCGTAACATATCCAGGAACACCTCCGCGATCTAGAAGACTTGACTCCAGTCTTGCCAAGTCTCTACCTGCCCGGAAATTAGTTGGGTCAAGGGTGACAACGCGCTGCTTTACCGCATAGGCTTCTGCCACGCGCCCCTCTTTCTCGTGGATATCAGCAATCATATCCAAAGCCTGCAGAGGAGCAAAACAAACAGTAACAAGCGTAGATTCCAACATTCCGAGTGACCTTAGTGGAGGCATAAGCAAACCACTACAGCTGGACATTTCTTAGCAATACCGACGAAAAGGTGTTGAAAGCCACACTAAAAAATGAACTTTTGGACATATGAGTGCACTACCAAAGTCATATGGAAAACCTCAAGTGCTTGCATGGTAGCTTGGAGGGGTTCGTTTTAAGACGTGGCACATACATTGTCATTGTTCGGGTCAATAGAAAGCAAGTGCTGGAATGTTCCAAGAGCCTCAGACCGCGTCGCCGGGTCTTCAGCGAGACAGACGCCCAGGTTGAAGATGGCAGGCTTGTAAGTAGAATCGTTTTGAAGAACCTCCCGGAAGCACGCTATTGCCCTATCACGCTCACCAAGCTGCTGAAGAACAACTCCTCTTTTGTACGAATAAGACAACTGATGCGGCGCCAGCATTGCTGCACTTTGGTAGCATTCCATGGCCTTTCGAGGATCTCCACAAGTGAGGTACAGCTCTGCCAGTTCTGCATGGATTTCAGCCCTAAAGTCACTGTCATCAAGCTGGCCAAAACATTCCTTTCCTGTTGTACGGGCCGAGATACTGCCTACATGCAGCCTTTTAGCCGCCGGGTTGTTCACCACAAGCTCATCTATGTCGTCTGTGTGCAGGCGGGATACATTCCCACTGGTGAACGCAGTCGACGCGAACTCTGCACTACTCATTTTTTGCATGGCCCCTTCAGTCTCACCTGCAAGCACTGCGGGGTGGTCGAACTGGCCGGGAGCCCAGCATGCGCCGACCGGCTGGGGGATGCTGCAACGGACAAATGAGCAGCCGCAGTTTTCGGTTTGATTAAGTGCTCCCAGCTTATGTAGTTTCCCAGCGAATTTTGCCGACGGGAGGTCTAGAGCAAAAAGATAGGCTCGTTTAGCCAGTTCAGGATTTTTTTCCCTGTAGTACCGCGCTTTCACTAGGGCCTCCTCCCTGCAGCACACAGTTGATTTCGCACAGCTCTGGTCGTTCATTTCCTTGAAAGCTTCCATGACGACGGTGGTGTGAAATTTTCGTGAAACCCTAGGCGTACCTCGATACAAAGGAAACGGTCCCATTCCTGGGCGTCGGACCGCAACATAGTGAAGCGTCTGATGAGACATCCAACGTATACGAATCATTCGCACTCTCATTCTGGTGGCGAGGAGCTGTCACCAAATATGCACAGCTGTCTTCGCAAGGGCGAGAGCGACGCTGCAAAGATGGTGTTGTCAGTTCGCTTTCCAAAATAGGCGGCTGTGCCACCGAAGACGGCGCGTTGCCCATGGCGGTTAGGGTTGGCGAAACTCTGATCAACCAGCAACTTTAAGAATCTCCTCAGAGCGTACGTACACAAAATGCCCGGTTCAACGGCTTCAACTCAAGGAAAGAACCGACTGCAAGAAGAGGAAGTCTGTTGGCTTCTGCTGCTTCGGTGGCTGCGAAGCGGATAGGTACCCAGAGTGCCGAGAATTTCAAAGCTGATAAAGAATTACCATCAGCTTGAAACGTTGAAACACTAACACTTTAAAATCCAAAGACAAGAACTGGTTGGTGATGAAACGGCAAGCCGTATCGCTTGCACGGGTCAGGTTCCGACGGATGAAGGACAGCGTCGGCCGGGCTCCGTGCAGGAGACCGTCACGAAAGTGTCAGCCTTCTTTCCTCTCTCAAAAAATTCAACCAAAGCATATACAAAAGTAAGAAAGATATAGGACAGAGCCCATAGGGGGTTCCTTGAATGCCGGCGTAGCAGCTCTTGGCCTTCCCTGAACCAGGCCACCCGAGAGTCACATTTTGACTGCAGTGTATCCAAAATCACTGTTGAAGTGCGCTAGGGAAGCTGACAACTAGATAGCCCAATTGCCTGCCGTTATTGAGTAGTGTATTCAATTCTGTCTCTACAGCATATAAACCCTGAACACGGAGGAGTGCCACAGGGTTTAGAATTTCCCTGGTGCCGCCGTCGAAGACCAGGGAACTAAAGTGGCCCGCAGCCTTGCATTCTCTGTTTCTTTATCTTGTAGGTCTTTACCTTATTTTCTGTCTTTCCTCTGATTGCGTGTACCTGGATACCCATTTATTCGATGCCTGCGTTGGAGACGCGTTGATTAGCCATAGGTTAGTGGACCACACCAAGCAGCTCTCAGCAGTGCCCCTCCATCATTTCGTACTTGTGAGAGATAAATCTCCCCAGTAGAAGGGGCATGCACCAACATGGTAAAAATGTTACAGTCGTCTGTGGTATTATAGACAATTAATACAGAGGTTGTTTTGATGCAGGTTCGTGGTGACTTGCTTTGCACCATAGGTTGCTGCAAAGTAAAATGAATCGGAAACTCCTACTTTCTGTAGCAGTCGCGGGCCAATGCAATTGTTGTTGGGATGGCTCCCTTTTGGAAACCCCCACGCTTGTATGCTGTGGTGCAGCTCTCCATTGTCCTCGGCTCAGGATGTGGCACCTGGTAGAGCTGCGCAACTAAGAGACGAGCGGTGAATCCCATCTACACCGCTGGTTATTTTGGTGTGTAGAAGTGCTTTGTCATGAAATTGCTTTCCAACAAGAGAGGGAGGGTCTTAGGGAGGCTCTTAAAATATTTGTTCAGTGTTCAGTATTCCCTCCTCCTAAATTGTTAAAGTTGGGCAGGATCTGCCTTCGAGTGAGGGAGCAAGCAACAGTCGGGGAGCTTCTGTCACGGGAGAAAGGCACACTATTCTCACATCATCTAACGAAAATCGCCTTGATTGAGAAAATTCTGAAGAATGCATCGGCCGTTGCGAGTTTCTCATGTACGGCAGAAAGGCGATCCTCACATGCCGTCCGTCAGTTTAGTATCATATACTTCCGTATGGACGCAGAATTCTGCGCGCAGAGCAGGAGCTTGAGTTTCTTTTAACGTTTTTTCTCATATTATAGGAGGTGCGGACATCACGTTTCTGCCCAAGAGGTGATTCCCCTTCTCTGGGGCTTACATGCAAACTTTTGAGATATCTTGCACTGTAGATGGCAACCTTTTATGGCCGGAAGGGAAAGAACATGTCAAAATTATCGCCTGGGAGTTCTTTTAGTAGGGGGCATGCCGATAGAACGCAACGTGAGGCAATATGTGTACTCACTTGACAAGTACCAGTCTCGATATAAAGCCGCAGCTGATATATTTTTGCTTTTCGATAGCAATGCATTGCCCAAATGAGGGGCAATCTGAAGTATGCTTGGCGGCGCAGATTTAACAATAAACTGCAAACAGCTAATGGCCATGGAACTGGTTCCTTAATATTCCCAACAAAGGTTTGGGGTGCATGTGCCAGCCCTCAAAAGTAACGGACAAAAAGTTGCGGCAACACAGCATTACAGTACCGGCATACGAAACATACGAAAACATGCGGGGGCAGACCCAGAGGCAAATTCGGTTTTCTTTGATGTTGTACCAGATTGCAGCTATCTGAACATGGAAGTCTGTGACAACAGCGTTGAAAAGGCAAGTATTTGAACATCACACCACTGCATGAGCTAAGAGTCAACGAAGTGTTATGGCTTGAAGCTAGACTGCGCAGCAATGATGTGGCATTACCACGGTGATAGCCGCACTGGAAGAGCCGCCACCAGTAAGCTCATTGCTCCTGCAGCTTTGCATTGATAATTAAATAGTTGCAAATCAAATTTATACGGGCTGCAAGTATCACTATGTCCTAAAACTATGCGAACAAGGGGAACCAACCTGGTGTAGTCTTTGAGACTTCATTTCGTCAATGCCGGACAGAATACGTGGATAAGTGGATAACTGGACGTGTAAGAAAAATTGGGTTTCACCCTAGCGAAAAACTGTATTACCATGATGCTGGACTTCAAAACTAAGTCACATAACCAAGACAGGCTGGCCCTAGGCATGCGCCGGGGACTGAGTGGTGTAGGGGCATTTGCAAACAGGCCTCTACCGAGGTCTACTGGAATAAATATAGTGGAAAGGCGGACATATCCTCACGCCAAGCAGTATTTAAAGTGTCAAAAGGAAGTGCATGGCAACAAGCAAACCAGGAAGGCAGTGGCTATGAGGTTTTAATGCATTTGAAGCACTTTAGCAGCAGTAAGGGACTGCCCACCAGGAAGGTGATCAATTTCGTATTTACAGAATGCGGGAGACAAACTCGCTATTCTGGCAACGGGATGGAACATTCGCGCTATCAACGGGAATGCTGAATATGATGGCCAGCACTTCAGTGTCGTGCGGTGCTCAGTCTTTTCCGTGAATTGTCCAATCTAGACGAAATTTGTCGTCGGATGTATTCCTGAAATGCCACACTATGAAACTTTTGTCGTTTCGCAGACAACGATCTGTTTAGCTAACCTTGTCTTGCAATTCTCGGCTCATTTCCCTCCGCCGCTGATGGCAAACACTCTATTCCCCATAAATCAGCAGAAATGTGTCTACAGTACCTGTGCAGAAATCACTTAGATTCCCCAGGCAGTTCATTTTCTAAACAGAGCAATTAGCCTTGCAGACATTCAACGCACGTGCAACATCGTTTGCCCGTTCTAATGCTCGTCGCAGGTCACCATCACCATTGACTGAAGTTGATTTATTTTCCCTGCGAAATCCTTGCTCATGAAGACGAAACCGATTTTAGCGTACTTGGGACTTTGTAGAATATGTCAATTGGGATTGGTTCGCTAGCTTGCCAGTCATCTTGGAAATCCATGGGGTGCAACAAAGAGCTGAATTAGAGCGTCAGACCCTGCCGAAAAAAATTCCCCAATAAAACCCAAACCTGCTTGGCAACAAGCTTGAAGGATCAATCGCAGCGGTGTTACGATTCGCCGTGCTTTCTGTGCACTGCAACCCTGTATTTGAATGCGCAGCCGACTGGAGCTTCCTTCAGCAGGTTCTTACTATTGACAGGACAATCAGAAGAGTGATACGGCTAAACATCGTCATTTCATAGTCCGGTAAAAGCAAATTGACTAGCTACGAATCTGCTTAGGACTATATTTGCTCCTGCTACATAACGGACTTCAGCGCTGACTTGCTTTGAACTTCGTGCCTTCGTGCATGCAGTAAATACACAGCGTGCCCGCAAAAAAGTGGCCCGCCCTCCTGCCAACAATCCCAGTCACATATGTTCGTTAACATTGTTACTGAGCATGCTTTTACCTCTGTTATCAATTGTGACATTTCCCGTCAAGGGACCCAGACGATCGCCTGCTGTTCAGCAGCACGCGTGCACCGCGGCGCGGCTGTGAAACTGCAGGATTCTGCGTGCCCACATCTTCCTCTTTGGGAATAGGAAGCACTTACGTACATGCTATTAAGATAAATGAAATTCAAGGACCATGAAGGACCCAAAAGCAATCCACTGGTCCCAGCATCTCGGACGGAGCTCCAGACGTCCTCATTGTGGGATCAACTACGAGATGCGGTAGATGCGAATCGGCGTTGGATATCAGCATGCCTTAACTCCATATTTTTCCTTCTCCTCATTGCACTAAAACAAAACATTCCTGACCATAGGGTGGGCGGCGGGAAGCTGAGTAGAGCCGGGATATCGTGCACACTCCCCCATCTCAATCACACCATATACATTCATGCTGCTGTATGTGCAGATAAATCGAATAAGCAGGCAAGAGGACATTCCTCAGAGGGTATATGAGAGGCGCAAGGAACTGATGGGCATTGTTTTTGCCGTCGGCCAACAGGGCAGGTGACGACACGCGCGCGCTGTAATCCGAATGCATAAATACATGTACTTGCATTTATACTGCGTAGATCTGCTGAGTGCGCTTCCCGTCTATGCACGCGGTTTGTGATCAGGATACATATATGTGAACCACTTGCCTCTCATGCATGCCCTACTTCCTCTGCTTCCCCTGCAACCGCTCTTACAATCGCGCCGCGCGCGTGACTGCATCGCCCTCCGTCTAGACACTGTTGACCTGCCTCTTAACAGAGCATACCCAGAGACGTCTTCAGCTGCTGCTGCTGCTGCTGCTGCAGTGCCCAACGAGCCACAAGATGGTACGGTCAGGTCCGCTGGCGATAGTTGCAACCCCAGTGCGATCAGCCCAGCTTGCATAGCAGCCATGAAGCGGCTCCTAATCGGGAGGAGAGTGTATTTTGTCCCTGTAGAAGCAGACGTGGGTTTTGTGAGAGCCAACATCAAATTTCGCAATGGTTTCTTCTTCAAGAAAGACTTGGCTGCATACTTAGTATCGCAGGGACTGGCAACGACGAGCGAGGACAGTTTTTCGTCTCTTCGCCCTCCTCCTGGTCCTTCGTCCCCAATTCATTACTTGAGGTTGCATATACACCACAGGCGGGTGGGTTATACAGACGCAGCTAGCTGTTCCTAATTAGTGTTCCCTTCGGCCCAGCACATGCAAACGTGCCAGATGGGGGTTGACTCGTGCTCTGTTGTCTCCCTGCAGCTGCAGAGACTGGAGAGGGCCGCAGTATCGAGGCAAGTTGGCATGTGGAGCCATAGCACAAACCGTATACACAGTGAACAGTTCGCCTGGTCCCGTGGCCCCTCTTACGTGGTAAAGAGGGCGTTTGCATGCATGCGTTCGCTCTGGCGAGCTGGGCGTCGCATGTGATCTGCCCGAGCGGTGCCTGCGTCGTGTAAAGCAGACCGCTGCAAATGTCGCTGCGAAGATCGCACGTGCCAGCGGCTGCGCTGTCAAATTTGTGACAGAAGTAGAAAATGAAATCCCCTAGGGTTTAGATCACCTGGTTCCAGGGCCCACGCGGGTCCGCTGCAGGCTGGGGTGTTTGCTCTAATTGTTCAAACAACCCCCAGGGGAGAGCAGTGACCTCACCTAAAGGAGGACGGCATTTCTGGGGGCTCGCTTCCAGCCTGTTAGTACGCAAGCATCGCTCATACAAAAATGTATAAATAAACGAGTGTATATTTAGATGTATTCATGTCGATGCAATCACGGAGTCTTGGGGAGACGTTTCACTTCGACTTGCATCACGTCCTGGAGCAGCCGTGTTGCCTCCTGAAGCGACTTGGCGCATGCATCTGTGAGCTGCTTCAGCTCGGCCTTCACCAGAGCTTCTACTTCTTCGAGCTGCTCGGCGGCCATGTGTCCTTCGAGACACCCATCATCATGCGCTGCTGTGCCATGTAGGCCCTTTTCAGGTGTGGCCCCAGAAGAGTCCTTTGGGCTGCTGCTGGAGTGGCGCATTTGCTTGGCTTCCAACTTGTTTGCAAGCTGATCGGATCTGCAAAGTTTCAACAAGCGCTGGTGGCCTGTAGGGTTCCCCATCAGCATGTCCACAGAAGTCTTTACCTGAGCCGCATTCACCGCACGACAGGCTGTCCTACTGAATGCACTAAATAACAAAACGAAACAGCCTTCATGTAGGCTCCCCTGAAAATAAGAAACAGCCACTCATGCACCACATTTTGCTTTTGTAACGATAGAACGCCCGTCAACTTCTTAAAACACGTCACTTGGGCTCCATCAAGGTGCACACCACAAACACAGGGCATGCGACCTCTGACTACACAGAAGCAACGATTTTCGAACTTTCTTTGGACGAACACAGCTCGACCTGCGGCTGATTTCCAAGAAGGTTGCTGCATCCTACCTGATTTTGAAGCAAAGCCTCAATGGGCGGCAAACGTGCAGCAACTTGCTGCGCGACAGGTTGCAGCACTGCCTTGACCTGCTCAGCTGATGCCTGCACAGAAACGCAGCTGGTTCCTGCTGGCTTGTCAGTTTGTGTGCACGGCCTTAAGATGCCCCATAGACAGTGGCTGCTGCAGTTTCTAAATACTATACAGCTAAAATGGAAGTGACGTTAAAGGCACAACGGCGCATTATTACACCTTACCATCTCGGGCGGTAAACTCTTGAGGGCTTCTTCTCTCTTCTGCAGCAGGAAAGTACTGAGGGGAAGTTGTTCAGTGCCACCTGTATGCACCGAATAAATACAAAGAGAAGATATTACGGTGCACGCATTTCGCGGAACAGAAAGAATTGCTCCTACACTTGAAGAAAGTCAGGTGTTAGCTCAAGGGCGAATATGCTCACCTGCGGCCGCTGCTGCTGCTGCGTACTCGGTTTGCAGCTGCTTTAAGAAGGCCAATTCAGCGTCGTTTTCGGCTGAACAATTGAATTCCCAGGCCGCGAAATCGTTCAGAAAGGCCGCAACCAACTGCTGGTTGTGCTCAAAGTGTAACAGCGCGTCCTGTCCAGAAACCCCACAACCAAAATGACTCGCTATATATACATTTAGTAGCTCAGATAATCATTCTACCCCTTGTCATATCTCATTGTGGCCGCTAGTAACACCTCTGTGTTGTATGTGTATGTGCCGGAACTATGCCTCCTTAAAGCTGTCTTTAGAACTACGTAAGACAACGCAGGGCTTACTTCAGTTGGCTCGAGCGGACTCCTCTCCTCCGCACGCGACGCGGCGTCCTGCGAGCTCAACAGGGCTTCCCCTTTGCGTGTAGCTGCCGCAAGTCCCGTAGCATTGCTGCCGATGCTGTTGGCTGTTGTTAGTGCTACTGTTGCTGTTGCTGTTGCTGCTGTTACGTCTCGAGAGGCTTCGGCCGCGCGGCGTAGGGAAGACACGCGCTGACTCACGCTGTCCGGGCCGCTGTGCAACAACAGCTCCGGCGACACAGAAGTGTTGCGGAGCAGCGCGTGACTACCCGTGCAAGAGTCTGAAGAGGAATCTGATGTGGCCGGCTCTGCTGCTTGCTGCCCCCCCTGCATCGAGCCCATGGGGGGCGCATGCACAGATGGTTCCTGCTGCGACTGGCTCTCTTTATGCAGCCGCTCTTCTGTCTTCCCTTGTTGCATGTACAGAAGCCGCGTTGCCTCTGCTTCGTACTGCTGCAGAAGCTGCACTCTCCTCTCGTCCTCCACTTGCAAGGCCCCAAAAGCTCGCCGAGCACTTACTGCCCGCTGCAGCGCGCAGTGGCACAGACGTTCAATAGCTGCTGCTTGCACTCCTACAGCACCAGTGCAATCGCCTGCTGCTTGTAGCCTAGCCGCCTTTGTGGCAACATCTTCCCACAGCTGCTGGTGCTCAAGCAAAAGAGTCTTTTGTGCCTCTCTTTCCGTTTTCAGGATATCTGCTAGGTCTCCAGGTAAACAATGCTCGGTGCTCCTGCCATATACGGGGGGCCTCTCGTTCTCGTCTTGGGTGCCGTCCTCTCGTGGGGGCCTCGGCCCCCCCCCCTCTCGCCTATCCGCATCTGCACACGGCATGTCGTCTGTCTGCTGCTTAGCTGCGACGGGAGGTATAAGGCCTGCAGTTTCCCTTGTTGCTGCTGCCCCTTCTTGAAAAGACACCATCAGGTCCTTAAGGAGGGCCTCGACCGTCTCCACAGGCCTAGTACTAGCTGGCGGCCCCACAAGCTTAGACAACAGCTGCTCCAAGGTGTCTCCAAAGGGGACACTTCGCCTGTTTGCTGCAGGCAAAGGTCCCCACACTTCGGAGTCGTCTTGCTGTCTCTCCTCCCCCGCTGGCTCTGCAACAATACTAGACTTCGGCGTTTCTGCTGCGGCTGCGCTAGTTTCTGCTGCGGCTGCAGCAGTATCTGCTGCTGCTCGCCGGTGACTGGCTCCGGGCATCAACCCAACACCTTTAAGGCCCCAAGCGGGAGAGCACCTGCCAAGGGGGGGCTCCTGCCTTAGGACGGTGGTGCTTCTGCTTGTTGTCTCCTGATCGCGTCTTTTGTCTCCTTTCTCCGATCGTACTGTCACCTCGGTCGCCCTTCTTGCATTCCCTTCCTTCTGCCGCTGTTGCTGAGTTTGCTGCAGCGCGCAACTGCTGCGGGAGATAGAGGGCCCCCAGGGCCCTCTGCTCCATCTCCTTATGCATGCAGAGGGGGAGGCGACACCAGAGGGGGGACAAGCAGGAGCTGCGCAGTGTAGCGGCTCCTCGGAGAAGAGGACCTGGCTCTGCTGCAGAGACCCTAGACTAACAGAGGGACAAGGGACAGCAAAACGAGGAGGCGGCTGGCAACAGCCAAGGGGAAAGAGACCCTTTCTCCTCTTGCGTTGTGTCTTCGGTACCCAAGACACAACACCACGACTAAGACTGCCCAGCATTAACTTGTCTGCGGCTGCTGCCGCTGCTGCTGTTGCTGCTGCTTCTGGTCTCAGCAGATTGGGGCAAGAGCGAGGGCACCGGCCCTGCTGCTGCTTGGATGAGTTGTCTGACGCCAATGACCGCATCGTTACCGGCAGCAGCCGCAGCAGCGCAGCAGCTTCTTGTTCCTGTTGTTCTTGATCATCTTGCTGCTGCTGCTGCAGGTCTGCTTCGTCCTTCCCCCTCTTCCCAGGGGGACTCTTCGCCACCCTTTCCCCCGACGGATCTGCTATCCCCAAGGGGACAGCTTCAACGGAGACAACTGCACTCTGCATAAGGGGACCGTTGTATCTCCTTGGGTCTCCTGATGCAAAAAGGAGACTCGTAGGCTTTGCGAATCCATGTGCTGCAGCGGCGCTACTGTCTCCCGACCCCGCAGGCAAAGTAGAAAGGAGGCACCGCGGGAGTGTCTCTGTTGAAGAAGGGACAAATGGGCCCTCATCTGCCCCCCAAGACAAAGGAGGCAGTCCCATTCCCTCCCTTGTTGTCTGCCCTCCATCATCAGCCGCAGGAGCACTCTTCTGTCCCTCTGCTGCAGCAGCAATATCGGCAGAAGATAAACGAATAAACGGGACCGCAGGAGGAGACAGACACCTGCTGTCTCCAGGAGACACAGGAGCACCTGCCAGCAGCCCCGACAGCTGCGGCGGTTCTGCTGGGTGCGACCGCGCACGGGACAATGCAGCAGCAGCAACCGTAGCAGCAGTAGCTGCTGCTTGTGCTGCTGTTGCTGGTGCTGCTGGTGCAGCAGCAGCAGCAGCTGCTGGTGCAGCAGCAGCAGCAGCTGCTGCTGCTGTAGTTGCCCTCTGTTCCTGCTTCTGCTCCTCCTCCTCTGTCTCTGCAGCTTCCCCTTCTGTTCCTTGTGTTGCTGTGCTTTGGCCTCCATCGCTGATGCTGTTGGTGCTCCTGCTGCCGCTGCTGCTGCTGCTGCTGCTGCAATTACCGCTGCTGTTGCTGCTACTCCGCGCCGTGCTGCTATCGCCGCTGTTAGACGGCAACGCGAGGGCCAAGGGCCCCGGTTCCCTACCTCTTGCAGCAGCCGCACGCAGCAACCTAGAGGGTGGCCCCCCAAGCGCAGCGGAATCTGCTGATGCTTTGCATGCATCAACAGCAGCTTGAGGCCGCAACAAAGACGGCAGCAACGAGACATCCATTTGCAATGCCCCCTGATTGCCCCAGCGCGTGCTGCTGCAATTGTTGCAGCTGCTGCAGCTGCCGCCGGTCGACGGACTCACGCTGACTCCCCCTGCGTGGGAAGCTTGAGCTGCTGTTACAGAACATGCCGCCTGCTGCTGCTGCTGCTGTTGCTGTTGCTGCCGCTGCTGCTGTCCTCTACACCTCATGGGTGACTGTGGGTGTGCTGACAAGAAAGAGCCGCCTTCGCTCTGCATGCAATTATCCATCCCGTTGCCAAAGGAGTTGTTGGGCCCAGCTGCAGCAGCAGCTGCTGTTGCAGCTGCTGCTACGTTCCCGTTTTCCCTCGCCATCTGCTGTTGCTGTTGCTGCTGCCCCAGCGAAGACGCGTTGCTGCAGCAGTTCTTGCGGGCGACGTGGCAGCACTCTGCTGCTCCTCGTGATGTATGCAACCTACCTGAGTTGGTGGCACTTAATTGGCTAGCTGTTGAGTAGTAACATAGCAGCGGTGCGCTGCCACGTTGAGATCGGGGCCCCACGGTACCAGCAGCAGCAGCGGTTGCTGCTGCTGCAGCCGTTGCTGCATTCTGATGGTGGTGTTGCTGCACTTGCATGCTGTTTGGCATTCCTCCGCGCTCTCCACGACAGCTGCTGCTGTTTGTGCTGCTGCTGCTGCTAGCACCAGCTGCTGTTGCTGCACTGCAGCATCTGCACGCTCCTCCCCAAGAGGAGACCGAAGAGCGCGAACACCCCCCTAACATTAAAAGTGCCTCCCCAGCTTGACTAGAGGGGACACGATGAAGACACCGACATGAAGACTGCACTGCTCCTGAGCAGCTGCCGCTGTTGCTGCAGCAAGGTGCTCCTGCACCACCGTCCCCGGCAGCAGGAACCTCCTGCTGCTGCTGCTGCTGTTGCTGCTGCTGCAGTGTGCCTCTGCCGTGAGCAGGAAAGGACACAGGGTAACGAGAAAGCCCTGCTGCAGCGCTGCCGCGGCATCTGCAGCTGGATGCCATCCCGCTAATTGAGGAGCGCACCATTGCTGTGCTCCCTGCTGCTGCTGCTGCTGCTGCTGAGGGGGCTGCTGCACGCTCGCCTCCGTGTCTCCCAGGTGTAAGTTGTAGCACTGCGGAAGCCTGTAAGGTGGCGGACATAAAGAGACCATTGACTGTAGAGTTTGCTGCATTGTGCTGCCGCAGCATTTGCTGCTGTTGCTGCTGCTGCTGCTGCTGCGGGCTATTCTCTTGCTGCATCTTGTTGTGGTCTTGCTGCTGTGCACAGCTTGGGGTGAACCTTGCTGCCGCACCGACGGATTTGCTGCTGCTGCTGCTGCTGGCTTGCCGCACATCTCTGCCCTTCAAGGTGTGGGGTCCTGACGGTGAGGGACAAGGAGCAGCAGTAGCACCAGCAGCTGATGCTGCATGCAACGGCTGCTGCTGCTGCTGCTTCCAAGGGGTTCCAACAACCCCCGAGGCCATGAGGGTGACAGGTAGATCTGCTGTTGTTGCTGCCCTCTTAGGCCAGGGATCTGAGCAGCTGAAGGCCCATCTGTGTTGCTGCTGTTGCATCTGCTGCAGCATAAAGAGACGGGCTTGAATGGCGTGCTGCAGCTCCGGTGGCAGCAGCAGCAGAAGCCGCAAGATCAATACTAGCTGCTCCCGTCGCTGCTCGTTTGTTGTAAGCGTGCTGCAGTTGGAGATACATTTTCTACTGTCTCCCCATGCTGCAACAGCAGCAGCAGCCTCAACCTCTGCCTGTGCTGCAGCAGCAACAGCAGCAGCAGCCTTCGCCACTGCAGCAGCACGGGTGGCCGCAACGGAGACCCCCTCTGCTGCAAGAGGTGCTGGTGCTGCTGCTGTTGCTGCTGCAGCAACCTCTCGCGTAGGTGGCTGTCCCCCCTTTGTTAGGGGGCCCTCATGGGGACAAAAGATGGCCCCCTTAACAGCACCAAGTGTGTGGGGAGTAGAAGGAGACAGGAGAGCTTGGGATGTATGTACACCTCCTCCTTTGCTGCCTCCTCTTTGTGCTGATGCATGCGCCTGCATGCGCTGTAATGTACCTTCCGGGCCCTCTCCACTTGAACAGGGAGGAGGCCCTGCTGTTTGTGCTGCAGCTGCTGCTCCTGCTGCTGCCTGCGCGACCATTGTAGTCGCTGCTGTTGCTGCTGTTCCTGTTGCTGCTGCTTCTGTTGTTGTTGCTGCTGCTGGACGATAGCAATTCCCTTGGACCAGTTTAATGCATGTGCTGCATGCCCTCCTGGCAATAACAGGTCCCCTTTGCGGTGGGGGAGGAGGCAGAGCTTCTGATGTCTGCTCCCCTCTGCTGCTGCTGCTATTCCTGTTGCTGTTGCTGGCAACAGGAGGACCTGCAAGCGCTGCAGCCGGAAGAGGAATACTTGCTGGGCGCTGCGCCCTCTCCATGTTGTTAGCTGATGGAGAGGTGGGGTCTACTGCTGTTTGTGCTGCTGCGGCTGCTGCTGCTGTTGTTGCTGCTGCGTGAGCGGAATAGGGGCCCCTCAAGTCTTGGGGACCCCCGACGCTTGGGCCTTGCGGCCACCAGAAACGGACCCTACGGTTGCTTTCTAGGGGCCTCCTTGTGGGGCCCCTACAGCCGCGCTGCGAGTTGAGGCATTTAACGAGGCCCTGGGAAGGTGCTCTTCTTACAACTGCTGCTGTTGCTGCTGCTGTTCCTGCTTCCCGTGCAGTGTTTGGGGTTCTTGGGGTACCTCCTGGGGGACCATCGGGGCCTCCCCTGCCTATGCGAGTTGAGCGTGCTACGCTGTGGCCGTGTCTGCGGCCTAAGGGGCCCCAGGGTCTCGTGTTAGGGGTGGCAGCAGTCATAAAATGAGAGCAGCGGGAAGAAGGCCCCCGGGGGCCCCCTGCCTGCTGCTGCACCGACGGCGGCTGCCCAGGGGGTTGTTTTGTGGCGCTCACAGCCATCGTGCTGAAGGGTTTAGGAATGCCTTCTTGCTGCCTAGGGAGACATTCAACATCTTTGGGGAGGCCCTCCGTTATCTGGAGGCCGCTAGGGCCCCCCCTGCCGAGAGGAGACACTGGGGGGGGGCCCCCTGGGGGCCCCCCTTCCAGTGCAGGGGGGGTTATCTGTGTAGACGGAGTCAGCCTCCTTACCCCTGTCGAGTTGTGATCTGCCCTATGATGCTGCTGCCCCACCGGCCCTGGGGAGCCGGAGGGCCCCTGTTGTGGGGCCCCACACGTGCCAGGGGGCCCCTCTGTATTCTTGGGGAGGTCTGCTGCGACTGTGTCTCCTTGAAGCAGACCTGGGGCAAAGACATGGCTGCTGGTCTCCCCGTGGTTTTGGGGGGGATGCCTCGGCATAAAAGGCAGCAGCAGCAGCAGGAGAAGGAGCAGCAGCAGCACTAACAAGAACAAGTGCCAGATGGGGGCCCTTTTCGGGTGTGCTGCTACAGCTGGTGGCGGCAAGAAAGGGCTGGGGGCCCCTTCCTGATGACAGGCCTACGTTCGGAGATAGGGGCTGTGTATGTGCAGCACTTCAGCAAGAAGATATAAAAAGGAGAGAGGGAAAAAGGAGACGGAAGAGGAAGGGTTTCCTATTTACAATCTGCCGCTGCTGCCGTTACAGTTCTAGGGCGCATCGGCGCAGCAGCACAGGAGTGTTTATAAACACCCGAGGATACTAGCATCTAAAAACAAAGAAAACTTGAGAAAACAACCTTATTAATGAGGAGATATTTACGCTGTCATCAACTCCTCCTCCCCCCCCAGCACCTCCAGCTGCAGCAGCTGCTGCCGTTGTTGCTGTTGTTGCAACGCTCCAGCAGCTCCGGCAGCCGCCCCTTTATTCCCGATGGTTTGCCCGTAGCACCGTTGCTGCCCCTGTCCAGCACTTTAAGCTTTTCCTTTGTTATTTAAATATAATTTAAAGCCATTATTCTATAGGAAGACTTTAGATGCCCCTTTAGCCACCTTCTATGTAGGAAAGGCCCCCCGCGTGGGGCCCCCCTCGGGGGGACGGCACGGTGGGGTTGGGCCCGAGAGCGATAAACACAGCAAAAAATACAAACAAGATGCAGCACAGTACTGTGCAGCAGCAGCAGCAATAACAACAACAGCTATAACAGCAGCGGCACGGACCTGTGCTGCTGTAGAGTCTGCTGCCTATGCACATCCTCGCTCTTAGCCGGAGACGGTCGGCCCCCTTAGGTGCTGCCTGTCCACCGCAGGTTTTGTTGTTTTCGTTGCGTGTATACATGCGTACAAACAACATGCATGCATTTCTGGGTTAGTCGTGCGCTAGACCTTCAGCAACAGCAGCGCTACAGCGGTGGATCTTCCTGTAGTGCTGTTGGCTGTAAAAAGGCTTAAATGAGGCTTTGTTTAGTTGTGATGGCTCTTTGTTTCCTCTGTTTATTCTTTTTTTCTTATTAGGGTTTAGTCTGCTGTATAGCTAGCTGTATATACGCCAGTGTCCTCATGCAGTGACCTTCAACAGTTGTATCTTTCTGCTATTAATACTACCACACATTAGCCTTGTTTATATCTTTAAGAGACAGATAAGAGACGCCCACAGGAGACAGTTATGCAGGTATAAGTAATTCATCAGGACCTTATTGCCTAAACCAGCAAACGTCCCCAGTTTCTGCGTGTGGAGCGAGCAAGAAGGCGGCAGAAAATGCAGGAGCAGCAACTACAGCAGCAGCAGAACACTTCCTTCTTAGATAGAGGGTAAGTTTGGGGCCTTAATTGAAGTAGGCTGTTACTGAGCAACAAACCCTTAGTAGTACAATCAAGGCGAAGGTGGGAGGTGTAGGTCCTAAGGGTTTAGGGTTTAGGGTTTCTCAGGGGCTGTAAAGTTGCAGTAGTTCCCTCCCCAAATCCGCGGTATCCTTGCGCATGCAGCTAATCATTGCCCATTTGTTGCTGCATGTGGCTGCACGCAGGAAGGCGGAGGGAGTATAATGGAGCTGTTTTTTGCATGCAGTGTGTCCTCTTTAAGGCTTTGTATTAGCCATTGTATATACAAACATTATATGCGTCTTTGTCTCTTTCCTTAGTGACAAGTTTGCATGCGAATTGTTGAATAAAAGGCAATTCAATCTGTAGTGCAGCAAATAATTATTAAATAGCATGAAGGGACCTGTCCCTATTGAGCAACTCAACAGTGACGGACTGCGCAAAAGGAGACAGCTGCAGTCGTCTCTTTCAATCAACGTGTTGTTGTTGTTGTTGCTGCTAAGTAACAACAACCCAACCTGCAATCAGGCAATGTAGCGGGCCGCTCGATGCGCTGCACGCATGCACGAACAGCGCAGCAGCAAGCCCAATTGAAGCAGAAGCAGCAACAACAACAATTTACTTGCAAATAAAACCGTTAAAAGAAACTACGTGGTGGTGACGGATTTAGTCGTTCTTCGTAGGGATTAGGAGACACCATCTGTTGTGTGTTAGCAGGCAGGAGAGAAAGGCTCTCTCCCCCTGATGCAGTCGCCGCCAGGCAGTAGCGGGCCCCTGAAGTCTTGACGGGTGGCCCCAGACCTGTGTCGGGGGACCCTCTTCAGACCTCTATGACCTCCAGTGTGTACTTACGCCCAGGTAGTGGGCGCCCCCTTGTAGTGGTTTTCTTCAAACTGCACGAGTTCTTCCTACACGACGGCTTGTAAAATTTATTGTTTTTGTGTTTGTTGTTGGCTTGCTTCCTCTGCTAAACTGCTACTGGTGTGTAACTCCATTGGGGTACGGTATCGAGGGTACCATAAGGCCCCCGAGGGGGGCCCCCAAGGGGCCCCCCTGGAATCGAAGACGCACAAGCAGATCTTCCCGTGCAAAACGGAATCTGTGTTCTTCTTTGTATTTATTTTTGTTTGTTGCTTCTTTTTTATTTCTTAGTTAATCGCTTTGAAAAGGAAGTACAGGAGAATAATGACATTTAATCCCACCCATCTGTGTCTGTTTGTACGAAGGGGGCCCCCCTCAGGGTTTCTTCTTTGTTTTTGTTTGTCTTAAGGATCCTTCTTTCTTCGTGTTTTTAAATTTGAGATACAAATACTGTTTTTATTATCCGTTGTACCCTTTAAGAACAAGTACCTCAGGTGGGCCCCCATGAGGCCCTTCGTCGGGGCCCCTTCCCTGTGCATCCCTTCTGAGTTCTCTAGAAGGTTCCTCACCAGGAGCCCACGCCTCTTCAGTAGCCTACCGGCCCGCCAAACAGACAGGGCGGCCTCTTGTGGTGGACCCCCTCCCAGGGGAGCAGACGATGGAGGGGCCCCCGTCGGTGCTTTCCCTCAAGGGGTACAGAGTCCCGGTTCCTCTGCCTCTAGGGCCTCTCACGAAGGAGAGGATAGCCTTGAGGAGCAGCACCGCCTATTTGGCGACATGTTTAAGGAGGGACCAGTACCCATTGATGAATATGGTTCTCCGTCTTATAGGTCCCCTGTTAAGGCTGAATTGAGGAGGGGCCCCAAGGGGGGGGCAACAAAAAACGAGGGGGGCCCTTCCCCCGGGGACGCGAGGCAGTTTGGAAAGCCGCGATTTAACGTGAAGGGCCTAAACCCAAACGAGGCACTGCACCAACCTTCTCTGTGGCAGCAGCTGCTGCAGCAGGAGCAGCAGCAACGCATGCAGAGACAGGCCAATGCAGCACGACGCAGGACTAAGGCGTTATTTGCTAGCGCTGCTGCTGCTGCTGCTGCACAGGGCCTAACGAATAGTGAAAGGCCCCCACTAGGGCCTGCGAGTCCCCAAAGTGGGCCCTCCAGCGACAGCAGCCGCTGCACAGCAGAGACAGAAGAGAGTGCCCCTCTGCCTGACTGGAGGGACCTCTCGGACCTTCAGCTGTCTTGGGAGCTCTCATCAACAATACAACATTCTAAGAATGTAGGGGAGAGTCAGAATCAACAAGGGGGCCCCTCTGGCTGCACCCCAGACCAGCTGGGCCCCACCGACGGTCTTCCCCTTCCACCGGATCCCTTCCCAGAAGACGATCCCGGGGTCGAAACCGTACATTCAGGGGGCCCATGTGGTGCAATGTCTACTGAGGGCCCCTCCGAGGATCCTTGTGGGGGGCCCCCTGAGGCCCGTCGTGGTGCTACTGCTGCAGATACAGCTGAAGGTAAAGAGACGGCGTTATTAATAGAGACAGAAAGCCCCACAGCAAAGGCAACGCATGCAGCACGGATGCCTCCTTCTGTATGGGAGAGACTGTCTCCTCAGCATCTACATACACAGCAGCAGATAATAAGGGCAAAGACACCGGAGGGTATATTAGCTGCTGTTGCTGCAGCAGCAGAGACAGTAGGGGGGACAGGGAGTATTCCTTGGGCCCTTGACAACAAAGACGACAAGCTAACTGTCTCCATCTCCGACGCTAATAAAACAGCAGCAACAGCAACAGCAACAGATGCTGTGGTACCTACAGCTGCAGCAACAGCAGCAGCACCTGCTGCTGCTGCTGATGCAGATGCTGCCCGTGTTCGTTTATCACAATTGTATGGGTTAGATGCAATCAATGTAGTGACGGCAATACATAGATTAGGACGTTTAGTGTCTCCTATTGGAGGTTCTTCTGTCTCCTCGGACTCGAGGTTCTTGGTGCTGCTGCAGGCAGCAGAAGCAGCATTGCTGCTGCTAGATAGTCAAGGTGCAGCAAACTTGTTGTGGGGACTAACAAAACTAGAGTATCATCCTCGATGGTTGCCGCAGCTGCTGCAGCGGTGCATGCAACTGTCTCCTCAGCTGTCTCCTCATCAAGTAGCTACCTGTCTCTACTGTCTCTCTGTGCTGCCTGGGTGTCTCTCTTTACCAGAGGGGGTGGCCCTTCAGGGGGCCCTTCTTAAGGCAGCTTACCGTGTGTCTCCTCAGCTACAGAGGCCCCTAGATCTAACTTGTATATGCTGCGCATTAGCAAGACTTAAGATAAGAGACAGGAGTCTCCTTTTGTCTCTTGTGCAACGAGCGAAGGGACTGCTGCCGCAGCTATCTATGTCCGAGCTTGCATCTGTCTCCTGGGCCTTTGCTGCAGTAGGTGCAGCAGATAAGGCCTTCTTTACTGCAGTGCAGCGCCGCGTGGAGACAGAAGGTGACTCTTGTGCACCAGGAGATACTGTACAGTTTGCATGGGCCCTAGGGCGTACATTAGGAGACGCAAGGGACACTTTTGATTATACCATTACTCCTCTCTTAAGGAGTTGTCTCCCCAAGCTTAATGCAAGGCAACTCGCTACTGTTGCTGCTGCCTATGCCCAAGCAGGTATGTAATATTTCCCTTACTGCGGGGGTTTAGGGTTAAGGGTTTACGGGTTGGGTTTTAGAGCTTAGGGCTTGGGGGGAGGGGCCCATTCCTCCCTCTCCACCCATGGAGGTCCCTGTAGTCCTCATCCGTCGGGCGAATGGGGGCCCTCCTGCATTGCCCTTGCATGCGCTGTATACCGAGCTGGCTGCGAGTGTGATGCTCCTTGCTGCTGCATTTGCTGCTGTTTGCTGCAGGGGTGGAGGACATGGATTTATTAGCTGATTTAAGTGTAACGATGTTACCCCACATAGGCGCATTTTCCCCACAGCAGCTATCGAGTACATGTGTCTCCTTTGCCGTCCTAGGGTACAGCAACAGCGAGTTATTAAATGCAATAGCAAAGAAGGTGCTGCTGCAGCTGCAATCCTTCTCTCCTAAGCAGCTAGCACGTACAGTGTATGGCTTGGGGCTTGCTGGGTGTACGGATACCCGAGCACTCGACAGCTGCTGCACCGCGCTGCAGCAGCGCATGCATGCGCTGCAGCCAGCAGCTCTTACACAAGCCCTTGTCGGTCTATCAGAAGCAGAGTACTTATCGCATCCTGCTGTCCCTCAGCTGCTGCGGGCTGTGGGGAGGAAGGTCGAGTGGTTATTTGCTGAGGATTGTGTGCAGCTGCTGCTCCTGTTGAGTAAACTAGCTGCTGCAGCACGGTTACCGCAGCAGCAGCAGCAGTTGCAGCAGGTTGATAGGAGGGGGTTGCAGCAGCTGCAGCAGCAGCTGCAACAGCAGCTGCAGTCCAAGCTGAAGCACCACTGGTGTCTGGATTGTGGGAGCCTTTGCGACCTACTGCAGGCGTTGCTGCTGCTTCGGTTGCCAGATCCGCAGCTGCTGCAGCTAGCGATGCGGCGGTTGTGCTTCCTGCTACAGCGTGCGTCTTCGCGTGAGTTCTTGCGGCTGCTGGGGTGTCTTGCTGCACTGCAGCAGGAGGAGAAACTGCTGGTGCGGACACATATACAGCGGCGCCCTAAGGTACAGCACGCCCTGTCAATGCAGCTGCAGCAGATTGCTGCAATGACACTCGATCCTGATTCTACTGCTGCTCTCATCTTCTCTTGTGCACAAATCGGATTTGCTGATGAGGCGCTACTCAAGTAAGTAATAACGCACACAAATATACATATATATACAAATAAGGAGACAGGAGACAGGAAGAGGCAGACAACAGAAGGGAGACAGCAGAGATAACACAGAAGATAAGAGACGGCAAACACTAGGCAGTAGATAGGAGCCAGGCGATTCCCCACAGCTCCCTCTACACGAGCAAACCAACAGATAAACAAGCAATGAGCATAGCAGCAATTAGCAAAAGGAGAGAAAAAAAGATCAAAGGCACGAGGAGACACAACAGAAGCTGATGCACAGAACCGAGGTAATGGGGACCTGGAATGGGAACGTTCTAAGCTACTGCCGCTAATGTGCTGCTGCTGTTGGTGTTTTGCTGCTGCTGCTGCTACAGGATGGCAGAGAATCTGCAGCACAAGTTAGAGACAGAAGGGGAGCTACTGTCTCTTCCTTCCCTTTGCCACCTCCTGTGGGCAACAACAGAAGTAAGGAGATATACAATGACAGAGACACTTGCTTGCTGCTGTCCCTCTCCTCAGTCCCCGGTCGCTGCAGCCGCTCCTCATGAGGGGCCGGACAGCAGCAGGACAGCATCTGTGTGAGGTGTCGGCGGAGGCCCTTGGTTTCCAAGCTGCTTCATCTGCTGTCACTGCTGCTGCTGTATCTATTGCTGCCGCTGCTTCCGCTGTTTGCTGTTGTCGCTGCAGATGCATTTTAGCCTTGGCTGGACTCGCAGTGTCCTGCGGTATTTCCTGGAGCGCCGCTATGGAAAAAAGGAGCCAGCTGCTGCTTCTGATGCTGCTGATGCTCCTGATGCTACTGTTGTCTCCTCTCTAGAACCACCGCCTGTGTTATTTTTTAATGAAGAGGAAAGGGAAGCCTTCTGCGAAGCCCACGGCCTCGGGCGCTACAGGGGAGGAGAAGTTTTCCCTTCGGGTATAGGCACGTCCGTTCAAGGGGGCCCCCAGGAACAGCAGCAAGCTGTAGATAATGTAATACGGGGGGCCCAGGAGCAGCAACAAGCTGTGGATAATGTACAAGGGGCCCCCCAAGATGTTGCGCTGGCGGAGAGTCTCTTGAGGGCAGCATTTGCTTGTGTCTCTCTTGGAGAGGAGCAGTATCTGCTGCCTCTTTTAGAGGAGGTCGCGAGGTGAGTTGCTGCTGTTCTTGCTGATGCTATTGTTGTCGTTTCTGCTACAGTTGTCATTGTTGCTGATGCTGTTCTTGTTGCTCCAGCTGTTGTTGTTGCGGCCGTTGATCCTGCTGCTGCTGCTGCTGCATAGCTTTGCAGGTTTTGTATGGGGTATATGTGCTATTCAGTCTATACGGCGATCGACTGCCCCTCGACCTGCTGCCTGCGCAGCAGGTGTGCTTGCATGCAACCCGTTTTGGGGGACCCTCTTTAAAAGGCCCTCATTCGCCGCACCTAAGGAAATTTTTGTCTACTGTCTTGGGGGCCCCCCGCTACGACGTCTACTTCACGGGGGGGGCCCGAAACAAATTTGGGCCAGGGGGCAGCCGTCTGCGAGTAAAGGACTACAACTATGATGCCTGGTTATCCGAACCTCTTATACAGGTCCGCATGCGCTGCTGCTGCAGTTGCTCCTGCAGGTGCTGCTGCTGCAGCAACCTGCACAACCACCAGAGGCACCAGCAGCAGCCGGAGCACTGGGCAGCCGGAGCAGCAGAAGCAGCAGCACGAGCAGCAGGAGCAACAACAGGAACAGCAACAACAACAGCTTTATTTCTTCTTTTGCGTGTGTTATCTCCATGAACAGATGAAGATACCCCACAAAACAACATTTGTTGTAGGGGGGATATACAGAGTCAGCGCCGCTTTCCCTATAGAGAAACATCTAATAGATGTTCTCGCCTTCCAGGCAAGCATAAACCCTACACCCTAAACCATAAACCCTCTCCTGTTCTCATTAGCTTACCTGTTGGCCTCCGTTTAGCCTGTAGAGCGGATGTGGTCAGTGCTCCGCTAGAATGCGACGTGAGCAGTGCACGCGTGCAAGGCAACAGTAGCCGATGCATGCATGGACGCATGCATACATATTTGTTCTGTTGTGTGCAGGATATATTGGCGCCGTCGAATAAGCCAACAGCAACAGCGGAGCTGCGGCAGAGGCAGCTGGCACTATTGGGTACGTTTTTGTCTTTTATTTGTTTTTACATAAATAAGAGAATATAAAGGTGTCTATGTGCCTAAGTAGCTTTTGCGGTGCTTCTGTTAAATTCCCACTGTCTCTGTAGCAGGACCATGGGGATCTAGGTTTTAGGGTTTAGGGTTTAGGGACAGACGGGCGGGTTTGCTGGCATTCCTAGGGTTTTACGGTGTTGGGAGGCCAGCTCCCTTCAGTCTCATTCGTTATGAGGAGAAGAAAATGCTAGAAGCTGGGGTCGGGATTGTGTTGTATGGTGCGGGGCTCCTCAGGCTGGACAGTACACTCTGTACATCTAAGGGCCCTCTACTCAGCTGTGCTTGACCGCAACCTCCGCAGCTTTGTGGCGCAGATTGCTGCGTCCTGCTGCCCCCAAGCAGAAGCCTTTGTCTCCTTCACACAGCAGCAGCAGCAACAGCAACAGCACCAGCAGCAACAGAAGACGGGACCGGATGCGGGGTCGGATTCCTCTGTCAGCGCCCTCCTTGGCAAGGATATTTTTGAAGAGTTTCCTTTGCTGCGGGTAACGCGCAGCCACAATGAGCACAGTCGTTTCTCTTTGCTGCTTATGGCTCTCCATGCACGAGGGGCTTTGTACATGACATGCATGCTTGCGGGGCTTTGTACATGTCATGCAAGCATACAGGGCCTTTATGCATATGGTGTATGCATACAGTGGCTTCGCGTTCGTTGGACGCATATTTGGGGTGTGTTGCATGCATGCATGCAAGCATTTGGCCTGGAACGTGTGTTCGCGTGCATGTGCTGCTCAGAGGAGACAGTTGGAGGCTGAGGATCTAACAGACGATGAGTTAGAAGAAGAAACAAAAGGAAACAGCAGCCGTCATTGGATGCTGCGAAGGCCCCGTCTCCGCACCTCTGTTGCTGGGGGGGGGCCTGAAGCCCCGGGGGCCCCTGGTCCTGGTAGCGGTGCCCCCGGTGTAAGCGAAGAGCTACCCATGCAAGACAGCCAACTTAAAGGACGCCAAGACACGGAGGAGACCCTTGGGGCTGAGGAGACACTAGAGGCAGACACCAGCAACACGCTTGCTGCTCTTGATGCTCTGCAGCAGGCCTATGGCTATAAGAGCAGCTGAGCTAAGCATTTTGTCTCCTTCTCTCTGCCGCTTATTATTACAACTATTGTAAATAATACTAATACTAATACTAATACTAATACTAATACTAATACTAATACTAATACTAATACTAATACTAATACTACTAGTAATAATAATTATTATTATTACTGGAGGCGTAAAAATGACAAAAATAACTATTATTGTTATTATAATAATTATTAGTATAGGGTAGAAACTTAAAGAAACAGAAGACTGGAAAGGAGAAAAAGGGAGGCAGAGAAAGCGAAAATGTGACAGCTTGCAACAAAAGGAGACAGGTTGCAGCTGGCAGAGACAAAAGGAGACAGTTAGGTAGATTATCTAAAGGAGACACCCTCTGCGCCTCATAAGTGCGCATGCATCCCTCGTGGCATTAACGGGACAGCAAGGCCTGCTGTAGCTGTACAGGTGGTTATTAAAAGAGTGACACAAGCTGCGCCTGCTGCTGCAGCAGCTACGCTTGCTGCTGCTGCTGCAGCTGCTACTTTCGCTGTGGTTTCTGCTGCTCCTGCAGCAGATCGGCATGCTCGTTGCACATGTTGCGCAACAGTTCCGCTGCTGTGATTGGTTCCCAGCCTACAACAAAGAGTACGGGGAGACAAACTGTTTGCTGCTCCTCTTGCTGGCGCATTCGCGCTGCTGCTGCTGGTGTTGCTGCTGACCGAGAAGCAGCAGCAGCAGAAGGGGGGCGACGCTGTTTGTAGCGGAGGCAGACAGGGCGTATTAATCCCTCCGCCTTGATTCTTTTTATACGTTTTGTGTTAATTATCCCCCCGTCTTGTCCTTTATTAAACCTGAGGAGACACCCTGCTGCTGCGTTGCATGCAGCGCAGCACAAAGCGCCAAACACCAGATGCCCTGCACTGCTGCTGTTGCTGTTGAGCAGGAGGTCTCTGTGCTGGCGCTGCTGCTGCTTGTGCTGCTGCTGCTGCTCATCTCTCTGCGCAAGCATCAACGCTGCAGCACACTCCTCAAGTGTCTCCATATCGGATACAGTGCCGAGACACCCGAGGTGCCGAAGCAAGCTAAGCGCTGCTGCGTTCTGCAGCAGCAGCAGCAGCAGCCGCCCCGTGCTGCTCTCCTCAAGGGCCACTAATATGCCTAGCTGCAGGCCCAACAATTTGTGGTTCCCCTCGGTGTCTTGCTGTTGGACAGCCCCACAGCTACAGCTGCCGCCGCAGATGCTCCTGCCGGTGCTCCTGCTGCTGCCGCCGCCGGTACTGGTATTACTGCTGCTGGTGCTGCTGGTGTTGCTGGTGCTGGGGGCGGTTAGGCAGCGGCGACACACCCAAGACAGGTGCACCGCCATCAGCTCTTCTATTGACCCCGACACCCAACTGCATGCAGAGGTGTTAATAAGGTGGGGTTGTTTTTTATAGTAAGGAAAAGAAGAGACAGAAGGGGCATTGTGCCCCTTTGTCTCCCCTTTCCTGTCTCTCTTGTCCCTTTGGAGACAGCTCTCCCGGCCGCCTCCGCTTGCTGCATGTCGCGTGTCTCTGCATGCGCGCCGCGAAGCAGGAACTGTCTCCTCGCACAAGGGGACACTTCTACCCCCAAGAGAAGAAGCAGACACGGGAGGTTCCATGCCAATAGAAAACAAAGGAGACAGCTGCAGGCTCAGAGGCAAATTCGAATGAGCCCCATCTGCTCTTGTGCCTTTTCTGGGCGACACGTCAGCGCAGCAGCAGCAACTGCTACTGTTGCAGCGATGACGAGTGGCTGCAAACGCATAGGACGGAGTTTGAGGGTCTCTACTGCTGGCTGCAGCACCAGCCGCTGCATGCGCCTCTGCTGTCTCCCATAAACTTAGAGGAAGGCCTCCTGGGGCTGCTGCATAGCGGTGCCGCAGCTGCTGCAGCACCGGATGCGGACACGCAGCAGCAGTAGCATCCACACGAGGCGAGTAGGAGGTGGCTGCAGAAGAAGTGTCTCCTCCCCCTAAGGAAACAGAAGAGACAGTTGCTGCTCCTTGCAGCTCCTGTTGCGAGGGTAGACACCGCAGCGCCAAGGCAGCAGAACTGAAGCCCACACATTTAACTTCAGTAGCTGGGATCGCTTCCAAAAGCAACTCCCCAAAGGCCGCCGTTGCATGCTGCTGCTCTTGCTGCTGCAGAGCGCCAGTGGGGTGCTGCTGTGGGGGCCCAGGGGGGGCCCCACAGCACTTAAGAGAGGGCAAAGGGCCCATAGACACAGCATTTGCAAGTGCTATGGACAGAAGCAGCTGCTGGCGAGTCAAGGAGACAGTAGAGGGTATAGGAGCAGTGCAGCGCATGCAATGAGCAGCAATTGATCTGCCAAGTAGACCCCCTCCCACTGTCTCCTCAATTGCTGCTGCCCACATCCTGCATAATGGAGACACCCAACTGCCGAGTCCCTCCCCAGGCAAGGGCCCCAGACAGTGTTTCTCCTCCTCCCCCGCTGCCGCTCCCGTTGCTGCTGCTGCTGCTGCTCGTGGCTTCCCGCGGATGCGTCTTGGGGGAGGAGGCCACGGGGGAGCTGTAGAAAGGACAAGGAGACAGGGCCCCACATCTATTTGCATGCCTACCTGCAGCACATCAAATCTCCCTGGGGAGACACCGGGGGGGACCCACAGATCAATGAATCCGCCGTCTGCTTTTGTGGGGCCGCTCTTCCTTAAGAGGGGGTCATGTGCTCCAGAAGGAGGCCCCCGTCTTGCAACGCCAAACGAAGGGCACCCAGCCAGCCTAAGCAGCAGCAACGCAACACACAGAAACAGCAGCAGCACAGCAGCAACATCTGCCGCAGGAGATAAAATACACGCCAGGATAAGCAATTGCCACACACACAAACAATTTAAAGGAATGCCTGCCTGCCTGCCTGCTGCTGCGCCTGCTGCTGCTGCTTTTCCTGCTGCTGCCGTTGCTGATCGTAAGGAGGCTGCACAGCTTACTGAAGCAAAACAAAAGGGTCAGCTATGTAACGTACCTTACAACTAGCCATGTACAGCGGCGGGTGGCCTCATCCCCTAACAGTTCCCATGAACGTTTGCTCTTGCTGCCTGCTGTTGCTGCAGCAGAAGCGGTAGCACCACCTGTAGCGGCTCGCATTGGCAGCATCACCAGGTCCACGACAGTGAGGCCTTTGAGGAATACGCGCTGTCTCCTCGACGACGACAGAGGGAGACAGCCTTGTGGAGATAACTGCAACGGGGAACGGATCCCTGGGGGAGTGGGGCCCCACAGCCATGTTGCTGCAGCTGCCATCAGCTGCAGCAGGGAGTCGAACGATCCCCGTGTCTCCTCCTCAGCAGATCGATGACACTCAAGAGCCCAACACCCCAACACAGACAAACACCGCAGACACCGTGAGGTAGGGAGACAAACTCCCGTTTCGCCAGCATTTGCAGCAGCAGCAGCTCCTGCTGCTGCTACTGCTGCTGTAGTTGCTGCTTGTACTGCGTGTCCTGCAGCAGATGTTGCGAGATCGCAGAAGCACAGAGGCGTGCGGAGACGACGTGCCAGCACCAGAGGAGCTTCTGCTGCTGCTGGGCTTGCTGCTGTTGCTTCATGCGGCCTCCCGCTGGTGGAGGTGTCGTCTCCTGTAGATGGAGGTAGAGGGGCCCCCAGAGGAGGGACCCCATTTAAAGAGAGACAGGGGCCTCTGCTGCGGTTAGGGGGCCCCATGAACTGTGTTGCTTCCTCGAGCGAATGCCAACGATGGAAAACAAAGGAGGAGACAGGTGGCAGCCAATCTGAGGAGACAGTCTCCTCCCGCATTCGTTTCTTGTTTGCCTGCTGCTGCTGCTGCTGCTGCTGCTCCTCCTCCTCCTCCTCCTCCTCCTCCTGCATGCGTGGGGTGCATGCGGTCCAGCTGCGTCGCTGCATGCGCTCTAAGATCGGTTCTGCGAGGGCGTCTGTGAATGTGTGTGGGGTCGGGAGTTGACGATCCCAGGGATAATGCAATTCTTCTTCTGCTGCAGCAGCTGCAGATACACTCGACGTTGCTTCAAGTGCATCTGCAGCAGCTGCAGCAGGCAGCACCCTATAGAAGGCAAGACGCTGCAGCGCAGCAAACTGCCAGGGAGACACATGAAAAGTCACCTCCCGCCCAGGGCCCCTGCAGCGGCAGGTGGGGGCCCCTACACTTGCAGCAGTAGGACTCGTGGGGGGCCCCTGCCGCTGCTTCTTGCAGCAGCAGACGTGTGTGGGGGCCCCTGTTGAAGGGACACAGGGGCTCCCGAGAGGGGAGAAGACGCTCCCCTGGATAAGACAGATACACTCGGGAGAGACACTTGACGGGGCCCCCCCTTTGGGGGCCCCCTGAGGCCCTTTTGCTTTGCTTTTAGTTGACAGTACGACACAGCATTTGCTTCTAAGGAAGAAGAAGAAGCAGCCGGAGGAGACAGCAGCAGGGAAAAAACTCTTAGTGTCTCTTTCTTTATCTAAAAAGGATAAAGGAGACACAGGAGACTGACGAGGAGACACAAAAAAAGACTGAGGAGACACCCCATTCTCCGTTACACAGTGAGTTATGTGGGTTACTTTAACTGCTGCAGCAGAACAAATAATTAAAGAAATAAAACCAAACAAAGGAGACACACTGAGGAACGAGGAGCAGCATGCTGCTGTTGCTGGTGCAGCGGGAATAACACCAGATGCCAACCCACACTGCTGCTGCTGCTCCTGCTCCTGCTGCTGATGCTGCTGGTGATGCTGACGCCGCTGGAGAGGTCCCGATCCAGCCTTCTTGCTAGTCCTGCTGCTGCTGCTGCTGGTGGAGGTGTCTCGTGTTCCTGTCTCCACAGCCGCAGCAGCAGGCGCATTAATCCCCTTGTTTTGCTGCACCTTTGCTGCTGCTGCTGCTAAGGAGGTGGAGAGACACTCGGCTGTGGGAATGGCATTGAAGGAGACAGCAGCAACAAAGCAGCAACGATCAAGGGAGACACAAAGAGACCGAGCACCAGGTGGTGCTGCTGCTGCTGCTGGCAGCAACTCCCGCAGCAAACACGAGGAGACACTTGAAGAGACAGCATGGGGGCAGCTCGGCAGCAGCAGCACAGGTATTGTCAAGGATTGGTCAGACAGCAGCAGCAAATTGCCGCATAGACTAAACTGGCTAGTACCCACAGTATACCTGCTGCTGTTGCTGCTGGTGCTGCTGCTGCGGCTTCGAACACCAGCAGCTGCAGCAGCAGCAGGGGGCAGGGGGATCCCGTAGTTGAGGAACCCCACAACCCCACACACATCTTCTGCTGCCAGTAGAGCAGCACAATCGACTGCATTGAGGGCAGTACAGCTAATGGGTGGCAAGGCGTGCATGCGTTGCTGCTGCTGCTGCACCTGCTGATGCTGCAACTGCTGACGCTGCACCTGCTGCTGCAGCTCCCTCTGGTGGTGGCGTGGCCTGCGGTGCGGACACTGCTGAGTTGTTGCGGCTACAGCAGCTGAAGATATCGGAGCTGTGAGTCTGGGTGGGTGCAGCCGTTTCTGCTGCTGCTGCTGCTGCTGCTCCGGCTGCTGCTGCTGCTTCTGGAGCTTTCCTACGGGGAGGAAACGAGCGTTGCTGTCTTGAGGTTGGGCTTCTGAAAGGGACGACCACTCGATCAAACGATGCAGCGGGACGTCTCCACCAGCAGCAGCATCTGCAGCAGCAGCATCTGCAGCAGCGGCAGTTGCAGGCGAAGCAGGAACACTGAGGGAGTAAGTCTTGCTCAAATTTGCTGCTGCTGCTGATGTTGCTGCTGCTTCATCTGCTGCTGCGCATGCAAAGGTGGTTGTGGTGGCAGCCCCAAAGAACGGGGGTCTCGGTGTGGGGTCAATACTGCTGCTGTAGTCCTGTGGCACCTGCAGAGACACCCGAGCTTCCTGGCGCTGTAGCAGCAGCAGCCACCGCAGCACATCAGCACAGAGACGCCTGGAGGAGACACAAGAAGACCCTCCTGCCATACAGCAGCTGGCAGCTGAAGGCAATCCAGTAGCACCAGCAGCAGGTGCTGCTGCTGCTCCGTGCAGAGATAAACACCTCAGACACCTGCTGCTACTGCCGCCGCTGCAGCAGCAGCAGCAGCAGCAAGTGCCCCCTTCATACGCGAAGGGATCTACGGGGACGATTACTAAGGGTCTCCGCAGGTGTACAAGGGATGGCACCTGCGCTAGGTGGGCAGCAGCAGCAGCAAATGAATTGAGGGTTACTGCAGCAACAGCAGCAGGCAAGTTGCCGCTGCCATGGCTCTGTAGTGATCCATCATGAGGACTGCTGCTGCTGCTGCTGCTGCAATTGCTGCTGCTGCTGCTGCGCAAACTGGAGCTACAAGAAACGGACCAGCCTGCTGCTGCTGCCAAATATCGGAAGGCTTTTGCTGCAGCAATAGCAGCAGTTTGCTGCAGCAGCTGCAGCACAAGATGTTGAGCGTCTATTAGCAGCCAGTAGGAGACAGAGGTCTGAGCTTCCTTTACTGCTGCTGCTATGCCTATAGTCTTGTGCACCCTTACCACGCTATCATTGCTGCTGTTGCTGCTGCTGCCGTTGCTCCTGCTGCTGCCGTTGCTGCTGCTGCTGCGGAGGTGGCAGAGACAATCCTCCTCTTCAGGTGTCAGCGGCCTCCAAGGGCCCCACACCTCCGACGCCTTGGGGCGACGCCCTGTTAGGGCGCAGCAACCAATGAAGGGCTGCAGGAGAGTAAGAGGAGAAGCACACCACGAACCTGCTCCAGGTGCTGCAGCTGTTGCTGCTGCTGCTGTTTCTTCTCCTGCGTCTGCCGCGGTGCTTGCTGCAGCTGTTGTGGCGGCACCAGCGCTGCTACGTGCCACTAAAGCTGACCAACGGAGTGCAGCAGCAGCAGCAGCAGCAGCAGCAACAGATGCATGCGTAGGCCCTTCATAGACCCCATGGAGACAGCCGAATTTTTCAGCAATCCAGGAGGGACTAAATTTTAAATTTATTTCTTCTGCTGTCTTTGCATGCCGCCAACAGAGGAAGCTTAGCAGCAGGGGACTCCTGCGGAGACTTTCTCCTCTTTCCATGCCTGCTGCTCCTGCTGTTGCTCTTGCTGCGGCTGTTGCTACTGCTGTTGCTGCTGCTGCTGCTGTTGATGCTGCTGCTGCTGCTGCTGGATACGATGCTTTTGCCCCTTCAGCACCTTGGTTTTGCAGCAACAACGGCCAGTTTAGATGCCGTAAACTACTGCAGGAGCAGCAAGCGCAGCACATGATCCTGCTTCTGCTGTTGTTGCTGCTGCTTGCCCCCTCTGCTGCAGCTGTCTCTCCACTTGCAGCAGCCATGAGCAGCCGCGAGAGGAAGCTGCTGTCGTCTATGCAGAGGTGCTGGGGGCCCCCCCGTACTGACGCCGCAGGGGGCCCCAACACCACCACGCTGCTACTGCTGCTGGAGATGAGCGCTACAGGCAAAGGCCCTTCGGCAGCAGCAGCAGCAGCAGCAGCAGACGGTGCGGTGTCTCTTTGGGGGAATTGCCGATCTTTAACTTCAGCGGGGGCCCACGGGGAGTACCCCACCTTCTGTTCCTCTGTATCCTTTGCTGCTGTTGCTGCTGCTTTTGCTGCTGCTGCCGCTGAAGTTGCTCCAGCGCATCTTGCTGCTCGCTGCAGGATATCCTTGCCGCTGCAGCCAACACGTCTCCATGCGACGTGCTGCTGCAGCAGCAGCACGGATGCCCCAACACCACCCGTGAACCCCCTGCTCTCTGTGCTGCTGCAGAGACACCAGGGAAAAGGCTGCCACTGCAGCAAACCTTCTAACAGACCAAACCTGCTGGTGCTGCTGCTGCTGCTCGTCATCCGGCCTTCAAAAGAGACAGGAGACCCCATATTCTCTCTCCGAAGGCCTCCTCTGCTGCACTGCTGCCCCAGATAGTGCAGCAGCGAAGCACCCCACAAGTCCGTACCCCCTATACAACTGCTGCTGCTGCTGCTGCTGGTGCTGTGGGCAGCAAGTAGGACAGCAGCAGCATACGGACCCTCCTCACCGTGCCTAGACAGCAGCGGGAGCAGCCACGGCAAGCGACCGTCGCACATCAATGAAGGCCCGACCCCCCCTAGCAGCTGCTGCAGCAGTGGCAGCAGGGGACTCTGCTGCTGCCATCCATTCTTACCAGATGTCTCCTCAGTACTTTGCTGCAACGTGTCTACTTGCTGCTGCTGCTGCTGCTGCGCTACTTTCAAGGCTGCATCGAGCTCTGACATTTGCCATTGTGCAATAGAAACTGCTGGCCCGGCAACTAGACGCCACTGTTGCTCCCCCTCCTGCTGCTGTTGCTCGGGTTGCTGTTCCTCGTGCTGCTGCAGCTGCTTTTTGCTGCGCATGCGCTGTAGCCGCAGACCCGCTATGCATGCGACTCTACCGGGCATCAAGCATAGACGTCCAACTGCTGCAGCAGATCCAACGAAAAAGATGAGGCCGCCTGTAGGGCAGCAGCAACAGCAGCAGATATTGCTGCTCGTGGTGGTGGTGGTGCTGCTGCTGCAACGACTGCTGCTGCATCGACTGCTGGTACTACATGCGCTGCCGGTAGCGGCACTGGTAAAGCAGTGGCTGCTACTGCTGTTGGTGCTGCTGTTGCCGGTGCTGCAGCTGCTGCAGTGCCGCGCATGTGTGTGACGGTCTACGGTGCTGTTGCACAGGCGGCGGAGGGTCGGTATATAGGGGGGCGCCGCAGAGTTAACGTCCTGTGGCTGCAGGGGCCCCCCAATGAGGGGGCAAGCCAAGCGAGCCACGCAGCAAGGAGCAGCAGCAGCAGCAGCAGAAGCAGCAGCAGCAGCAGGACCTGTCTCCCTCGAACTTAATATGGGGGAGACAGACACCACACGCCCATACACCACAAAACACTTCCTTGAAGAGCCCCGCGCAACCTCTGCAGGCAGCAGCGGCAGCGTGCCCTGCTGCTGCTGCTGCTGCTCCACGTGGAGGCCCCCATAGGGGCCTCCACATGCTGCTTCAGCAGGGCAACTGTCGTTCCGATGCTGCTGCGGGCTACTGCTCTCCTCCGCAGCAGCAGAGCTGTTGATTTGCGTTCTAACAGCTGTTTGTGTTTCCAGTGTCTCTGCTGCTGCTGCTATTGATGCTGCCTCTGCTGCTGCTGCAGCATCTGCTGCTGCAGAGGCTGCTGCTGCTGCTGCCTGTGTTGCTGCTTGCTCTTCCTCAGACGAACTCGTAGAGCAGAGATTGGGCTGTACAGACACCCAATGCGGTCTCCCCAGATGCGGTGTCCCTTCGGGGCCCCGCGCTGTACTGTTGCTGTTTGGGGGCCCCCCCGAGGGCCCCCTTACAGCCCACTTGTATGCGAACGCTGCGGTTGCTGCTGGTTGTGCTGCAGGTGCTGTTGTTGGTGCTGACCGGCTCTCGCGGCCAGCAGCAGCAGCTGCTGCAGCAGCAGATGCTAAAGGCTCGGCTATCGTCAGTGGCGGTGTGGCTGTAGCCTCCGGTGCAGTTGTCTGCTGCAACAGCGGAGCTGCAACTTGTTGCTGCTGCTGCAGCGGCAGCAGCACAGCAGAGGCAGCAGTTAACCCCACACATCCTGGCAAGATATGCAGCAGCACTGTCTCCTTACTGTCTCTGTCTCCCTTTTCTCTCCTTCTGTCCCAATTTGGGGGGCCCCTACACCCCTGAGACTGTAGGGCCCCCCTGCTGACCCGGCTACCACATGGGGACTTTGTACTAGACCTATGGTTTGCTGCAGGGCCCCCCTGCTGCAGCAGCAGCAGGTTGGGCGGCTCCCCACTCTCCTCACCTGCTTTGGGGGGGGGCCCCGAGACCCTGTTGATGCCTGCTGTGGGGATGTACCGCCACTGTCTAACGGCGAGGAGACAGGGGCCCCCAGGGGCCCCCTCCGACACCAAGCGACCACAAAGGGTACTGGACCGATGGTGCCCCGTATCCCTGCTGCTGTTGCTACCCCCAATGGGCCCCCAAGAGATTTGGGGGCCCCTGTCTCTAATGAGTTCAAGAGACACAAAGGCACTGCTGCTAAAGGAGCCCCATATTGTGCATGCAATTGCGTATATAGGGCAAGGCTCTCCCCGTTGCTGCTGTTGCTGCTGCTGTTGCTGCTGCTGCTGCTGCGGCTGTGCTGCTGTTAAACCGCCCGTGATGATCGCTGCATCAGCAAAGAGCAGCGAACCGCCGCCCTCATCGGGAACACGCAGCAGACACCCCAGGAGCACGGGCCCGCTGCTGCTGCTGCTGCTGCTGCTGCCGCTGCGGCTGCTGTGTAGCCACAGTGGCATCTCCCACCTCTCCTGCAGCAGCAGCTTCTTCACTCCTATGAATGCAGCAGCAGCAGCAGCAGCAGCGGCAACCGGGCTAGGTTGCTGCTGCAGCTGCGGCTGCGAAAGCCGTTCGATCCCCAGCAGCAGCAGCCCCCCACATATTTGCTGCAGCAGCACGCATCTGTCCCACTGTCTCCCTTCACCAGGAGAACCAGCAGCAGCAGCAGCAGCAACAACAACAACATTGTCAATAGCAGCAGCAGCAGAGCACATATGCCTGCGTAAATCTTCCTCATCAGCAGCAGCAACGGTAGACAAGTGTGCAGACACCGCAGCACCTGCATCTCTCAATAGTTTTGCTGCTGCAGCAACAGCAGCAGCAGCAGCAGTCCCCTGCTGCCTCCTGCTGGAGAGAAGGAGGGAGCCCCCACATATAATATCTTCCTTTAGGTCAAGATACTGCTGCGCTGCAGCAGCAGCAGCATGCAGCACCTGCTGTACGTACACCCCAAACCCCAAGACATCTTTGGCCTTAGAGAAGGGGGAGATATAGGGGCCCCCAATGGAGACACAACAAGGGGGGAGAAGTGCTGCTGTTGCTGCTGTTGCTGCTGCTGTTGCAGATGTTGCTGCTGCTGCTTTAGACTCTGCTGCAGGTGCAGTCGAGGGGCTGCAGCTGCTGCTGCTGCAGTTGCTGCTGTAGCAGGCACGAGGGGCTAACCCAGCACCCAGTAGGTCGTTAGATGCAACGATTTCTTCTTCCCTGCATCTTCTTTTATAGGGTCTAATTGCTGCATCAGGGGCCCCCAAGGCAGGAGTGGGGCCCCTAACGGCGCTATGGTTGACTGCTGCATGCGGCTCATCCCCCCGTCTGCTGCTGCTCCTGCTGCTGCTTCTGCTGCTATTAATCCCGCTGCTGCTACTAATCCCGCTTCTGCTGCTCAGCACAGAGGGGCCCCCTGTCGGGGCCCCCTGGCAGCTCCTCCCTGATGTTTGCTGCTGCTGCTTCCTCTCCTCCCGTGCCATAGGTTAGGTGACACCACAGCAGCAGTAGCTGCAGGAGCAGCAGCTGCTGCTGCCGTGAGCAAGGGCCCTGCTTCCCAAGAAGCAGCAGCAGCAGCAGTAGCAGCAGCAGCAGCAGAAAGTACAACAGCAGACCCTGACCTTCGGCTGGTCTCTAGTACAGGGGGTCCATTATGAGGGAAGACTGAATGGCCATCAACTCTCTCTAAAGGTCTTCATAGAGGGAGGTGGGCCCCTCTGCAGCGGTGGGGGCCCCCTGGCACCGGTGGGGGGCCCCTTATGGTGACCTCTGGGGCCCCTTGTCTGTGCCTGTACCGTATAATTCATTAAGAAGTTATATTGTTGCTTTAAAAGCAGCAATTAATATTTTATTGCCATTGTTGTTGCTGTTGCTGCTGCTGTTGCTGCTGCTGCTGCTGCTGTTGCTGCGGCTGCTGTTGATGCTCCTGCTTCTGCTGCTATATGTGTCTTTACCATGAGCTGTTTGTGTCGCCAGGTGTCTTGATAGTATTGGGGTGTATGTACACCTTAATTAATAAAAAATAAACAAAAAAGACAATAAATAAATATAAATAATATTATTTTGCATCTTTTAATAAAGATCTATGGCTAAACGATTGGGCATGTGGGCCCCCAAGGGGGGCCCCCCGGGCCTCTGGGGGCCCCCCTTGGGGGCCCCTATGCCCTTGAAGTAGTGTTGACTACACATAAAGAAGAAAAGGGTACAGTAATGGTTAGGCAAAAGGGTACAATTGTCTCCTTTATATAACAAAGAGGGGCCCCACCGTTAGTGTGTCTCCTCCCTTTTATTTATCCTTTTCTTCTTCTTTCCCTTCTTTTTTCCTCTTTTTTCTTCTTATTTATTTGCTGCTCTCCTCTTTATTAATAAAAGGATATAGCAATAAGGAGTAAGCAGCAGGAGGAAGAGGAAAGAAGGAGGAGGGTACCCTTCTTTCTTATTTATT